AAGAATGTACCATGTTTCTCCGAAAATAAGACCCTGTCTTATATTTTTTTTTAACCCTGAAATAAGTGCTTGGCCTTATTGCCATGCTCTCAAAAACTCGATTGGGCTTATTATCAGGGGATGTCTTATTTTGGGGGAAACAGGGTAATGCAATAACTTTTATGAGGGATTTGCTATTAGAATAGCAGTTACAGCATAAAGAAGAAAAGTGAAACACGTAGAAAATACGAGATATACAAAAATTACCACCATAGAAAAAACGAGATATACAAAAATGATCACCATGTCAGTTAATACTTAGTTGGGTAACTTTTAGCATGAATGACGGCCTTACAAGGTCTTCCCATGGAGTGAACCAAGTCTTTTAGTTCTGTAGCTGTTCTAATGTGAAACCAAGATTGAAGGATTGTTTCTGTTAACTGGGTTTTATTGCTGGGTCGCTTCTGACTAACAAGTTTCTTTAGTCGGCTCCCTAGATTTTCAACTGGGTTAAGGTCTGCGCTATTCCCAGGCCATTCCAGCAATGGAATATGATTATCTTGAAACTCACAAAAAAAGTGGTGTTATTAGCCATCAAACCTCAAAAATATACTTTTCCCAAAAGGTTTCCACAATTTTGGTCACTACTTTATATAGGTTTTCGATTCGATTTTTTTGCTTAGAGGCTACGAGCCAGATGGACTCCACTCAAAACTGACCATTTTCAGTTCTAGAGAATACTCTTTATGTTCCATCTTTGCTCAATCTAGCAGTCTGCAAACTCTTCACATATCCGGGCAAGGCTGTTTTTTTTTTTTTTGTTCTTTGCTTTAATTTATATGCCGCCCTTCTCCGGAGACTCAGGGTGGCTTACAATGCGTTAAGCAATAGCCTTCATACTTTTGTATATTTATACAAAGTCAGCTTATTGCCCCCACAATCTGGGTCCTCATTTTTTAAGTTTTTGCACAACTTAAAATATCTTTATACCAACAAGACTTCATTGTGAGCTTTGTATAATTCTAGGCCCTTGGGTGACAAAAAGGGAAATACAGTAGGAGCAACAGAACTAGGTCAAAACTTCCCTTATTGTCATCTGCAACAGCAACGGTAGCCAAGAAAGTTTCATGAAACTGCTGACTGACACGTAACAACCCAGGCAGCAGCATCTGTCTCTGTCGAGAGAGTAACTTGATAACAAAATCTAAAAATATCAGCTGATACAGTTTTCTTAATTATGAAATGACTTCAAAATAAAAAAAAAAAACAATCGCTCCGAACGTATTTATTTCGGAACACAATCATCACAGTGTTGTAATGGGATATGAGATATATGTGTCTCTTTAAGTCTGAAAAGCAAGGCTCAGTGGTCACAAATGGCAGGTAGATAGAGTTACAGATTAACACAGTTGGAAGGGACCTTGTAGGTCATCTAGACTAATCCCCCACCCGAGCAGACCCTACACGATTTCTGACAGATGGCAGTCCAGTCTCTTCTTGAAAGCTTCCAGTGATGAAGCTCCCACAACTTCTAAAGGCAACTTCTGTTCCATTGGTCGATTGCTCTCACTGTCAAAAAAAATTCTCCTTATTTTCAGGTTGAATCTCTCCTTGTTCAGTTTCCATCCATTATTCCTTGTCTGGCTTTCAGGTGCCTTGGAAAATAGCTTGACCCCCTCCTCTCTGTGGTAGCCTCTCAAATATTGGAAGGATGCTATCATGTCTGGTGCCTTCTCTTCTCTTCACTAGACTAGCCATGCCCAGTTCCACGTTGGAGGTAATAGATGGAAGGAGTAACGAAAGGAGATGTTTACTTCGGAGTTAACAAAAGATAAGTGTAGAAATTCTGGATTGTGATCCCTTGGGGGGGGGGGGGCGGGGAAATTAATCTCTCCCTTGCACAGCGACTGGAGGCACTTTTGAAGCGAGAAAAGATAAAGGAAACAATTAAAAGGTTGACAATGCTTATTTGTAGATTATATGAGGAGCTGTAGCAATAGAAGTGAGGTTGCGCGAAATACTTTGCAAACCCACTGCTGGTTATTTTGGAGACAAGTGGAAGCAAAGCTAACAGTCGTTTAGGCCAAATATTGTTGTCCCAAATCTCATATAATGACCATCGTGCTGTGAAATATGAGAGTTGTAATCCAGGGCATTCAGAGTACACCAGATAAAGGGAGGCTATCATTTCTCCCCTGATCTTTCTCTTCACTAGACTAGCCATGCCCAGTTCCTGCAGCCATTCTTCATATATTTGAGCGTCCAGTCCCCTAATCATCTTGGTTGCTCTTCTCTGCACTCTTTCTAGAGTCTCAACATCTTTTTTATAGTGTGATGACCAAAACTGGATACAGTATTCTAGGTGTGGTCTTACTAAGGCTTTATGGATTGGTATTAGTACCTCTGTTAATGCAATGTAGGATTGCATTGGCTTTTTTGGCTGCCACCGCACACTGCTAGCTCATATTTAATCGGTTGACCACTAAGACTCCAAGATCCCTTTCACTGCTGTGTGATGGATAGGTGATGGATGGAGGATTAGGATGCCAGCCTCGCCTCTTTTGCATGTACATTGGCATCACACAGACGGGGACAATGGGGTGGATCTTGCATTGTGATGCTCTCTCTTCCTTTTTTACTAACCCCCATGCACCTACTGGGAAATGCTCCTGTAGAGCATATTCCCTTTTCTTAAGTTAAATAGAAAAGACAAAGACAAGACAAAAAAAACCCCACACCAAACATGGTATAAAAGAAGAAAAAAACAACAACTAAAAATCAAAAGCACATCTATGCATCTAAAGTTGCACAGCAAACGTTTCAAATGAAAAGAAGAATTAAGTGTTTTGGTCCATACCGACTCAACTGTTTAATGCTTTCTTGTAAAATTCTTCCATTACAGAGTGGCTGCTTTTATTTCAATAGTACAACCTTCGACGGACACGTTATTTGGAAGCCTTCCAAGCAAATTTAATTAATTTGATCAGGGAGCAAATTATGGTTTTCTGTTTAAACTACGGGGACATTTAAGTCACGCCTGAGAAAAATGAGATCATTATTAAAACTGAGTTCACCGTATTTCAATGCGCATATCCTTTAGCTGGACCTTGAAGTTAGAAGTGCAATGAAACAGGAACTCCACCCCAGTTGTATGAATTGCAGAGTTGAGTTGCTAGCTCCTGAACATCTGCCCATTCTTCCTGTTATGATAGCACTCATGAATTTCAGTCTGATGTTTCATGCTTCACAATTTAACTCTTTCAATGGACAAATCGGCATTTTCCCTTGGATGCTATTGTTTAGCATCCTCCTAAATTTATTTGCCGACTTAAATTAGACAGCAGGTTAGGTAGACAAATTAGTCTATTAAGTCTAATCCACAACAGCTTCCCATGCCTTCAGATACAATTTGGTCATAATCCATTGCTGCAGTAAAAAAAGCAAGATTTCTTTTTCTAGCTTTGTAGAAAACTTATGCATTTTTGAATGCAGTTTTGTAATTCTGAAAGACAGCCTTCATTAAAAGCATGTAGTCCAAGAGATATAAGTTTGGGAGGGTGTGTATGTTATTTATGTATGTGCCTGTCTGTCTCTCCTTGTGTGTATGTGTGTGTATATATATAATGTGTGTCAGTGGTGGGTTTCAACATTTTTTACTACCGATTCTGTGGGTGTGGCTTGGTGGGCATGGCATGGCTTGGTGGGCGTGGCATGGCATGGCTTGGTGGGCGTGGCAGGGGAAGGATACTGTAAAATCTCCATTCCACCCCACTCCAGGGGAAGGCTACTGCAAAATCCCCATTTCCTCCCGATCATCTTGGATTCGGGAAGCAGAGAATAGATGGGGCGGGGCCAGTCAGAATGTTTACTACCATTTTTTTTTTAATTTGATTTATATGCTGCCCTTCTCCGGAGACTCAGGGTGGCTTACAATGTGTTAAGCAATAGCCTATATTGTATACAAAATCAGCTTATTGCCCCCATAATCTGGGTCCTCATTTAACCTACCTTAGAAAGGATGGAAGGTTGAGTCGACCTTGAGCCTGGTGAGATTTGAACTTGCAGTAATTGCAGGCAGCAGATGTAAGTGGATGTTAATAACAGTGCTTTAGTCTGCTGAGCCACCAGAGCTCCGAACTACTCAAAATTTCCGCTACCGGTTCTCCAGAACTGGTCAGAACCTGCTGAAACCCACCTCTGATGTTTGTGCATATAAATAATTTTTAAATACATTAAATGTAACAAAATAAAGAGAAAAAGAGAGAGAAAAGAAAAAGAGAAAAATGAAATGTAGAAATGAAGGATAAAAAAAAGAAACAAAAAAGGAGTTTCTAATTTCCTTTGCAAAGTTATCTCTTACTTTATGATTATAAAAATGCTTCCTTTTTTCTATCATCCTTTCCTCTTTTTTTTTGAATCATGGGAATCACAAATCATAAGAGCATTGTTTTCTGTTTCATGCAAAAGTTTCTAAGAGATTTCTAATCAGCCGTACCTGTACATATAGGTCTTTTCTCTAAGCAAAGAAGTTAATTTAGCCATCCCTTCAAGTTCCATCATCTTCATTTGCCGTTTTCCCTATGGTGGGTTGTATTAAATCTTTCCACTTTTGAGCATATAATAATCTCATTGCTGTTTTCTAAAACAAAATCCCATGACTTTTTCTAGATGCCTCTCAATTAATCCTGAGGGAAAAAAGGCTCTGGTTTCAATTGTGCTTTAGTTTATAAACAAGGAATTGCTATATTTTAATCCATACCTTAGTTGAGGGCATGTTTGTTAAGTTTAAGATGCACAGCCTTAAACTCCCAGAATTACTGAGCCTGCATGACTGGCTAGGGAATTCTGGGAGTTGAAGCCCATGCATTTTAAACTTGCCAAGGTTGAAAAACACTGGTCTAAATTGCCGGTTAAAACACTAAAAGTACAACTCAAAATAAATTATATCCTACTATTATGTATTTTTCCATTGTTTGAGTCCATGGAATTTTGTGTATTATATATATATTTGTATTTTACAGGTTCATTTAGTTCTTCGGATCCACCGTCTCTTAGCATCCAAAAACATATGATTACGATCGCTGCAAATGATACGTTACAGATTACTTGCAGGTAAGGAAAGAGGGTGATTATTCTTGTTATTTAGAATAGAATGAATAGAATAGAATAGAATAGAATGGAATGGAATGGAATGGAATAGACTAGACTAGATTAGACTAGACTAGACTAGACTAGACTAGACTAGAATAGAATAGAATAGAATAGAATAGAATAGAATAGAATAGAATAGAATAGAATAGAATAGAATATAGAATTTTTTATTGGCCAAGTGTGATTGGATACACAGGAATTTGTCTTGGTGCATACACTCTCAGTGTACATAAAAGAAAAGATAAGTTCATCAAGAATCATAAGGTACAACACTTAATGATAGCCATAGGGTACAAATAAGCAATCAAATTATACTAGGGAACAATATCAGTATAAATCGTAAGGATACAAGCAACCAAGTTACAGTCATGCAGTCATAAGTGGGAGGAGATGGGTGGTGGGAACGATGAGAAGATTAATAGTAGTGCAGACTTAGTGAATAGTTTGACAGTGTTGAGGGAATTATTTGTTTAGCAGAGTGTGGCGTTCGGGGGAAAAAACTGTTCTTGTGTCTAGTTGTTCAAGTGTCGTTTTGAGGGTAGGAGTTGAAACAATTTATGTCCAGGATGTGAGGGATCTGTAAATATTTTCACAGCCCTCTTTTTGACTCGTGCAATATACAGGTCTTCAATTTAATGTATTGTCTTAATTTCTTCCCAAGATGCATGTCTATCTTGAGGATATGAACCCCCCAACACAAAACAGTTACATAACATAGAGAATACAAATAAAGAATTTTATTGTGCCCCAAACATTTTTTTCTGTAGAAAATTACAATTCGGATAAAGAAATTAGGCTAAGGTTTTGGTCACTGTTATTTGCTCATGTTCTAGACGGTTCATCCAATTCTCCCTCTCTCTGGCATCCGATGGTTATGGCGTGATCAGAGTGACAACTTGTTGCCAATTTAGAAAATATGGTCCAGTGGTGAAATCCAATTTTTTTTTACTACCGGTTCTGTGGGCGTGGCTTGGTGGGCGTGGTGTGGCTTGGTGGGCATGGCAGGGGAAGGATATTGCAAAATCTCCATTCCCACTCCACTCCAGGGAAAGGATACTGCAAAATCTCCATTCCCACCTCACTCCAGGGGAAGGATACTGCAAAATCCCCATTCCCTCCCCACTCTGGGGCCAGCCAGAGGTGGTATTTGCTGGTTCTCCGAACCACTCAAAATTTTCCCTACCAGTTCTCCAGAACCTGTCAGAACTTGCTGGATTTCACCCCTGATATGGTCCCTTATTTGCCAACCTCATCTCTAATAGGTAACAATTTGCTATCCAATTAGGGACTGATCAATAGCTTGTGTTTAACCTAAGTGCTGCTAGATATCTCTGTTTACCATCTCTCGTTCGAGGGCTAGCCTTCTTCCTGCTGTGTATATAAAGGGAGGAGTCATACTTTTTTATTTTTGGGATATTGTTTAGCACATCCTTTTTTATGCGGGCTTCCTGTGTAAATAGTGCAAACATCGGCAGCAGCATCCAAGGATAGTAATGGTGCCTTCTACTTTTTCATTAAAAAAACAACAATGAGCTCATGTGTGTGGAAGTCTGAAGAACCTCATTGGTAGACCTCCCTCCCTTACTGAAGAAAATCATCAACTGGCAGATGATCTGAATGTGTCCTACTGTAGGTTTGAGAGAAGCAGAGGAGCATCTGTCGCTACCTTCCCTATCTTAGGTATACCAACAGTAGTGGGAGGGAGCTGTGGGGAGACTAGGGGGAACCCAAAAGTGATCTTCATGCCATCCTAAGACATCCCAAGCCCAAGGACCTGGGAATTTATCCATCTATCCAACTGTTCCAGGGACAGTTAACAAAACATCTTCAAATATGACTGGACAATGGAGCAAACAACAGAACAGTGGGATGGAAAAGGGAAAGTTAAGTAGGGAATCTTCCCATGCAAACTTTTAGATTTGGCTTTGCTCCTGTAACCGCTATCAATTTGCAAAGCATCCCTGGCCTGCTCTCGAGTTGCCATAGGCCAGGGGGGGATGGGAAACCAGCGAAATGGCACAGCAGCCAAAGACAGATGCCCACTCCATGCTTATCTCCCTCAAGGCTGTATCCCAGGGATACCTACAGCCGCCGAAGGGGAGTGACCTTTACAACCTGCGAAATTGATCCGTTGGCGAATGTGATTGATGACACATCCTGGGCGGAGGGGGGGAAACAGGGTCATAATTGGAGTGTAAATTATGTAGGGTCAGAGCTGGCTTCATTTGGGAACGTGCCGACATGAAGCTCCTAATAAATATCTGGGTTCATGATTTAATTAGGGCGTCTGTTGGAACCCTGACAACTGCTTGACTTTTAGTAAAAGTAACCTTTTTGCTATGGAACAGAGTTGAGAGTGTTTCTTTCCTAAGATACCAACCTTGACCAGGTCTGACAATACCTGTATTTGACAATATAGATAAAAAAATGTCCCAAAGGTGCTTTTCCAGGAGGCAACTGAACTTTCTTGTTTTTCTTTGAAGACGTTTCGCTTCTCATCCAAGAAGCTTCTTCAAGCTCTGGTTGAATGGAGGGGGAATGGAAGGATTTATATTCCTTGCAGACAGCTGGTCACTTGCATCCTTTTGGAGAGGCGTTGAGACCACTTGGAGGTTTATCTGTGTCCTCAAGAGTCACCTGAGTAGTGCAAATGGATGTGGACACAGATAAATCTCCAACTGGCCTCAACTGACTCTCTAAAAAGAATGCAAATGACCAGCTGTCTCCAAGGAGTATAAATCCTTGCATTCCCCACCATCCAGTCAGGGATGAAGAAGCTTCTTGGATGAGAAGCGAAAAGTCTTCAAAGGAGAACAAGAAAGTCCAGTTGCCTCCTGAAAAATCACCTTTGGGACAACCATGACCTGGATGACTGAGAATCTCCATAGGTAAATCTAGAGAAAATTACAACTAGTACCTGGACAATTAACACAGGCACCCCCTTGGGATGAGTGTTCTCTCCATTGCTCTTGACATGAATGAAACACCATTGTATTTAAAGCAACTGCCTTCTGATGGCTTTAACAGTGTTGATTCAGATTATTAATGCAACCCAACAAGACAGACACAGATTTCAGGGGATAATTAGAACGGCAGAAAAAACATTGGCTACCAACCTGCCTTCCATGGAGGACCTGTATACTGCACGAGTCAAAAAGAGGGCTGTGAAAATATCTACAGACCCCTCACATCCTGGACATAAACTGTTTCAACTCCTACCCTCAAAACAATGCTATGGAGCACTGCACACCAGAACAACTAGACACAAGGACAGTTTTTTCCCGAACGCCATCACTCTGCTAAACAACTAATTCCCTCAACACTGTCAAACTATTCACTAAGTCTGCACTACTATTAATCTTCTCATCTTCTCATCGATCCCATCACCCATCTCTTCCCACTTATGGCTGTATGACTGTGACCTTGTTGCTGGTATCCTTACGATTTATATTGATATTGTTTCCTGATTGCTTATTTGTACACTATGGCTATCACTAAGTGGTGTACCTTATGATTCTTGACAAATGTATCTCTTCTTTTATGTACACTGAGAGCATATGCACTCAGACAAATTCCTTGTGTGTCCAATCACACTTGGCCAATAAAAAATCCATTCCATTCCATTCTATTCTATGACTATCATTAAGTGTTGTACCTTATGATTCTTGATGAACGTATCTTTTATTTTATGTACACTGAGAGCATATGCACCCAGACAAATTCCTTGTGTGTCCAATCATACTTGGCCAATAAAGAATTCTATTCTATTCTATTCTATTCTATTCTATTCTATTCTATTCTATTCTATTCTATTCTATTCTATTCTATTCTATTAATGGAGGATTCCGTAGGACTCAAATATTCTTAAGTAGCTTATGGATTTCACCTTTTGCTCCCCAGTGGTGAGAGGGCTTTGGATTGGCTTTTGCCTAACAACCAAACCAGCATCGAAAACCGAATCGTGCTGACTGAGTGTGCCAGCGACACCTATTGTAAGATGCTCACCCTGACGGAAGCAATAGGCAACGACACAGGGTCCTACAAGTGTTTTTACCAAGACAACCTCGCCTCATCAAGCATTTATGTTTATGTACAAGGTAGGTGCATATTGGGAGAGTGCCATTTTTTCTGTTTAATGGGAAAAGGGCTTACTGTTGTACAATGTGAAGCACATTGGATTAGAACAAAAATTCCCCTGATCCATTCTCTTGATGCCACCATGCCAGCTAACTCGTAATCAATTTTGAACCTTTATTGTCAATGCACAACATGTGTACAATGAGATTGTCTGAGCCTCCCTTATGTTGTGACCCAGGCCCAAGTAGGTATTATCAAACGCAATCAGTTCGAAAACAGACTTTATTAGAACAGCTGAGAATTAACTCATTCTCAGCGTAGTCCAAACTAAATCAAAACAAATTCTTCATAACACAATTCTTCAGCCTTATCACCAACCTTGGTCTAATTAGGCAACCTGCCAAAGGCTTCTCTTGGCAAAAGTTCAGAAGCAGAAGACGCCGACAAGAAATAAATGTAGCAAGACAAGAAGCAAATCTATCAACGTTGTTTTCTGACAAAGAGCTCAAGTCTTTTAAGTCTTATGGAAGCTGCCAATCATCTCTTTGCCCTACTCCTTTTAGCTTTAGCTGCTCTTCCTTTTAGCTTTAGCTGCTCCTGCGTTCTGGCAGCTCTTCTCATACGTGCACTAGGAACAGGCTCCTCCTGTTCCTCTGCCTCTCTGCTGTCAGCCTCTGGAGACTCTGGAGTCCGCACATCACTCCCCGATGGCCCTGGCCCCATCTCTGCCTCGGACGCAGAGCCCTCATCCGGGCCTTCCCCAGCCTCCAGGACTGGCCCCTGTTCTTCCTCAGCCTCCTCACTGTCCGACTCCGCTGCCAGCTCTGCAGGCTGCTGGAGGAAAACACTAAGGTGCACCCCCCCACACACACAATACATCACAATAACAGTGAAAGAAAGAAAATCCCTAACCCAGTAAACTCATACTAACATACACACAATCCTCTATGCATATATGTGCATAACATTACATTACAATATATTGCACCAATATGAGCATGTTGTATGTTGTGTCAGCCCTGCAAGTCTATCATACTACATACTTATGATGTTATGTAGCATTCAGGAGTCTGACAGTCCACAGATAACATTCTTCATCCTGTTCGTACGACTGGCTATGTTTTTACTAACAGTTCTGTGGGCGTGGCTTGGTGGGCGTGGCAGGGGAAGGATACTGTAAAATCTCCATTCCCACCCCACTCCAGGGGAAGGATACTGCAAAATCCCCATTTCCTCCCGATCAGCTGGGATTCGGGAGGCAGAGAAGAGATGGGGGCGGGGCCAGTCAGAATTTTTACTACCGGTTCTCCGAACTACTCAAAATTTCCGCTACCGGTTCTCCAGAACTGGTCAGAACCTGCTGAAACTCACCTCTGGAATCGTCCCTGAGGATTTTCCTCACTCTTCTAAGGCAGCGAGTCCTAGCAATTTCATCTAGTGATAACAGGGAACAGCCCACGATACTTTGTGCCATGCTCATCACCCTCTGCAGTGTCTTTCTATCTGCAGTTGTCAAGCCAGCATACCATACCGTAATGCAATAAGTGAGGACGCTTTCTATTGTGGAGCGGTAAAAGGTCAGGTTGGCCAAAACTGGATGCAGTATTCCAAATGTGGCTTTACCAAGGCCTTATAAAGCATTACTAATACTGTGTGTGATGTTGATTCTATCCCTCTTTTAATGCAGTCTAGGATTGCATTGACTTTTTGGAGCTGCTGCCACACACTTCTGGCTCATATTTAAGTTCTTAGTTTCAGCAATCCACAAATTGGCGTGAGCACAACAGTGCCTTCTCACGTGTGTTCTCCAGCAACCCGTACCAAGAGGCAAAGTATTCTTCAAGTTCTGAAAATACCTAACTTTTCTAACAAAACTCCACTGATGGGTTCTCAATTGATCCAATTGGCTTTAGGAACGACACAAATTGGTGGGTATCACAACCACATTTACTTCTTTGGCATTGCACACATTTACTTCTGGATATCATGAAGGAGTCAGTTCTTTTATTTCTGTTGTGGCTCCGTTACCGGAGTCTGTGTCATCGTCAGGAGAGGACTCCGAGAGTGAAGGGGAGGAGTTGGCAAGGCCTCCCTCTCCAAGACCCTCTTCTCTGGCAATGCCTTCGGTGTCCGCCGAAGGGCAAGAGATAGGGCCAGGGCCAAGCACGTCCACGCAGCCACAGATGAGGGTAATGAGTCTTGGCTGGACCCATGCCAGCGTCGCAGAGATAAGCGCGCGCAACAGAAGAAAGGGTGTGCCCGAGATTAGGCTGAGTCACTGGACCACACCCGACAGGATATAAAAGGGAGCGTGGTGGCCAGTCAAACCTTGTGACGAACAAAGCTGAAAGCTTCCACGCCATTCTGCATTGCCGGACTTTTGCTTTAAGACTTTGCTGGAGTATTCCGTAATTATTGAGCTGCTTTCCTTTGATGTATCAGAGGTGGGGAGAAGTTATCTCTCCTCTTTGTAAATAATAAACTCTTGGCAGGCAGCTACTTGGTTGTTGCCAAGTTCCGTTATCATAAGGAAAAGGATTTTGCTGGCTGGTTTGGTCTTTAACTCCTGAACGTCTGTTGGTGTGTGTGCGTGTGGTTGGGGACAGAACAATTTCCTTATTTGTTTTATAACAAGCTGGCAGGAATAGCCAACACCCCAGTAGATAGGCTCAAAATCCAGATGGATCTCGGCAGACTTGAACACTGGGCCCTATCTAACAAAATGAAATTCAATGGTGAGAAAAATAAAGTCTTAACACTTAGGCAAGAAAAGACAAATGTACAGGTACAGATTAGGTGAAACTTGGCTCAATAGCAGTTACTGTGAAAAGGATCTTGGAGTCCTAGTGGACAGTCACTTAAATATGAGCCAGAACTGTGTGGCAGCAGCTAAAAAAGTCAATGCAATCCTGTTAATAGAGGGATAGAATCAATATCACACGCCCTATTAGTACCGCTTTATAAGGCCTTGGTAAGACCACACTTGGAATACTGCATCCAGAATTGGTCAACATGATATAAAAAAAGATGTTGAGACTCTGGAAAGAGTGCAGAGAAGAGCAATAAAGATGATCGGGGACTGGAGGCTCAAACATATGAAGAACGATTGCAGGAATTGAGTATGTCCAGTTGTCAGCACTTCAAGCTGCATTTACTCTAGTGCTGACATAAGAAGGAGAAGCGGAGGCGTCTGGAAAGGGACGTTTGACTTTTCACCTACTTATTTTCCCTGGAGATAATATCCCCTAGGAGATGGGAGGGGAGGGGGGGAATTCCTTTGAGCTGGAGCAGTAGATTAGGGGTAGAGTGACTTGGAAGATGGCCAATGAGTGCAGGGGAGTGGGGAACGGAAAGGGAGGGTTTTGGGTCTGGAAGTCAGTGTTGGCTGCGATGGAGTCCGAATTAGAATGTTGTGCTTAATAAATGGGAGTTTTTTCTTCAAAGACTTTGTTTGAAATGCAATTTATTTGAGACGACCTCGAAACCTGACACCAGTCTAATGAAAAGAAGGATCAGAGGTGACATGATAGCAGTGTTCCAATATTTGAGAGGCTACCACAGAGGCGGGAGGGTTCAATTTATTTTCCAAAGCACCAGAAGGCAAGACAAAAACAATGGATGGAAACTAACCAAGGGGAGAAGCAACCTAGAACTAAGGAGATATTTTCAATAGTGAGAACAATTAACCAGTGGAATGTTTTGTCTTCAGAAGTTGTGAGTGTCCATCACTGGAGGCTTTTAAGGACAGCCATTTGTCTGGAATGGTATATATTAGAATCTCTTGCTTGAGCAGAGGGTTGGACTAGAAGACCTCTGAAGTCCCTTCCAACTCTGATGATGTTCTATGTTCTATTTGTCTTGAGTCTTCATCCAGATTGATTGGATTCCACTAATATGAGAGAAAGCAAAAATAATCCGATGCATTTTTTCAGTGTTTTTCTTTATCCTTTTCCAAATTTAAAAAGGCCCAAATGTTGCAATTATTCCCAAACAGGAATTTTGACAGCTTTTTTTTTTCCTGCACATTCTTCTGCTTTGGAATATATCTTTTTGGGAAATGAAACAATCAGCATGCACATTGTGTTCCAAATGAAGTGGAATCATGGATTATTCCTGGCAGCTCTACTTTCAGTTTTTCTTTCCTAATTATTATGAAGATAATCGGGCTGTAAGAAAATGAATTAAAAGGCCCATGGATTTTTTTTATACATCTGTTACCTTTTAAGAAAAAAGAAACTTGGCTCCAGTTGCTTTTATTTTTTGCGATACTCAGGACCAGCAGGAATGCAGAATAATCATAGTTCTGCAGAATATAATGGTGCAAAAATGTGGCATGGCATTAGATCTGTAGTCAATGACCAGGCCATTTGGAATTCTTGCTGGTTTGGTGTTATATTGCTAAAACGGGTGCTGAATGCTTCAACCTGCTGTTGGACTAGAGAAGTTCTGGGTAGTATAATAGAAATAGCAACAGCATTTTGTCAGTGTAGATATATTCATGAACTGGAATAGGCATAACAACAGGTCAGCCAATGAGGGCTGTTTGGTGACTGAAACAGTTTGGAGCCTGGGCGTAGCTTAGCTCAACTGTTCTGTATATAGGGGAAGTCTTCTCTCTGCTGTCCCTGGCCTGTGTTTGTACCTACTTACAATCCCTTCCCTCTGCCACGTTGGAAAAACCAGCATGGGTATTGTATATTTGCCTTATGTGTTATTATATATATAAAGAAGTTTTGAATCCTGCTGAATTGTCTGATTGTGTGTGCTGCAACAAACTCTTGACACATTTAGTCTTTTGTACCGCACCTCAGTGCTTCACAGTACTCTCTGAGTGGTTGTAAACATCAGCATATTGCCCTCAACAATCTGGGTCCTCCTTTTACCGACCTTGGAAAGATGGAAGGCTGAGCCACCTTTGAGCCCCATCAGGATCAAACTCCAGGCTGTGGGCAGAGTCAGCCTGTGATATTTCATTCTAACCACTGCGCCACCAGGGCTACAAAACAGGGCTACAAAACAGGGCTACAAAACACTAAAACTACAGCCAGCGTTCTTCTGAAGCCCTTTCTTTCTTCTTTTGGGTGATCTATGGATTTTGGGGAGCTGCCCCAATTCACAGTCCGCCCTTGGTGACATCGCTATAAATTCAGTTGGATGGACTCCAACTCCTAGGATAAACTGCTGTGAATGAGTTGCTTTACTTTTACTTTACTTTACTTTTATTATATTTATATACCGCCCTTCTCCCGAAGGACTCAGGGCAGTGAACAGCCATGGTAAAAACAGTATACAAGACAAAAAATTTAAAAACTTAATAAAATAATTCAATCACTGGCCAAATTTAAAACACCCAGCTAAAATCGTTATTTAAAACCCCTATCAAAACCCAATTAAAATCCTTTATCCCGTCAGACTGGCTTGCTGGAATAATAGAGTCTTCAGAGCACGACGGAAGGCGCGGAGGTCGGGGATCCTTCGTATGTCCGGGGGCAATTCATTCCATAGGGCCAGGGCCCCCACAGAGAAGGGTCTCCCCCTGGGGGTCACCAGCCTACATAGTTTGGCTGACGGCACCCTGAGGAGGCCCTCTCTGTGGGAGCATACTGGTCGGTGGGAGGCAATCGGTGGCAGAAGGCGGTCCTGTAGATAACCAGGTCCTAAGCCATGGAGCGCTTTAAAGGTGGTAACCAACACCTTGAAACGCACCCGGAAGACCATTGGGAGCCCAAGAGGGGTGTTACATGGGAACGACGAGTCGCCCCCCATTATTACTCGCGCGGCTGCATTCTGGACCAGTTGGAGCTTTAAATAAGAGATCATTGAAGTTCAATGATATTTAGCATTTTCTATATTCTTCAGATTACAGATCTCCATTTGTGATGTCAGCCAGCGAGCCAGGAGCTGTGTATATAACCGGAAACAAAACTGTAGTGATTCCATGTCTCGGATCCTCATCGAACCTGAACATATCACTCCATTCAGTAAGGCAAACTATCACAATTCATTTTGCCAGTGATTCTTGCTCTTTTTTTATTTTCATGTTTCATATTTTACATTTGAGGCAGATGTCTTGATAAAGGCACTGTGTTTAAAAAAAAATGTAAATAGACAGAGGTTGTGAAAGATACTTCCATAATTTATTAGATTCGATGTGCATAACCTGCAGCCCAGTATTAGATCTCCGTACCCCAAAATCTTGATGTGTCTTCCAAAACCCTTCCCCCGAAAACAATGAAGCATTTGCAAATTTAAATTTGGCGGAATGGAAATGTGATTAAATGTAGGGGGAATAAATCATTGCACTGCATTTGCATTTAATTATTTTTCATTTTTACTACATTTCGGTTGAAATTCAGTTTAGGCTTTACTGAAGTCTTATTCCCTTACTTCAGGGGTGGGTTCCACTTACCTTTACTAGCGTTTCGCAGTGGGAGTGCACGCTTCTGCGCAGGCGCAGATCACCCATGATGACATCGTGGTGGGTGGGCGGAGTCTTCTGCCAGTTTTACTACCGGTTCTATAGAACCGGACTGAACCGGGAGCAACTCACCACTGCCGTACATGCTGTTCAAATGCGGCCTTTAATTCTGTACCTACCGTAGCTCCTAGGCTATTTTAGAAAACATCAGAATAAAAGTTATTGGTTTTTTTTTTTGTTCACATAGAAATATCCAGAGAAAACGTTTGTTCCTGATGGGAAGTCAGTTACATGGGATAATCAGAAAGGTTTCACAATTCCCACTAACATGATCAGTGACGTAGGAATAGTCTTTTGCAAAACTAAGATAGATGGTGAAAGCTATCAATCGGTGATGTACGTCGTGGTCGTTTTAGGTAAGTGATGGGCATTGTTTATTTGGGTGTTTATAAAGCAACTATTTGGAAAAAGAGAATTTAGAACACCACAATAGCTTGATAATCAAAAGGGGAAGATAAAGTCTCACTCAGATGGAACTTAATGAACTGGTAGCTGTCATCAATTTTTTTTTCTTGAAACACTTTTTATTGCTTTTTTCCCCCAGTACAGATCTCGACTTACGACCACAATTGAGTCCAAAGTTTCCGTTGCTAAGCAAGGCAGTTGTTAAGTGAGGTTTGCCCCATCTTTTCTTGCCACAGTTGTTAAGTGAATCACTGAAGTTGTTAAGGTAGCAACTTGGTTGTTAAGTGAATCTGGCTTCTGCATTGACTTTGCTTGTCAGAAGGTCACAAAAAGGGATTACGTGACCCCGGGATGGTGTAACCGTCATAAATATGAATCAGTTGCCAAGCGTCCAAATTTTGATCATGTGACTATGGGGGAATGCTGCAATGGTCGTAAGTGTGAAAAACAGTCATAAGTCACTTTTTTCAGTACCATTGTAACTTTGAACGGTACTGGAACGGTACCGTTTAGTGAACGGTCACTAAATGGATTGTTGTAAGTCAAGGACTACCTGCATGTTCTCTTTCGGAATGGGACAATTTGCCGCAGCCAACTCACCACAGGATCACTCGCTGCGGGACAATTCTACAATTCAATTATTTAAAATAATTTTAATTTTTTTAAAAAGATTGTCATTCACATTTTATTTTGTCCCTCCTTTGGCATCCTTTCTTTAATGATTCTATTCCACTATTTCTTTGGTATTAGTAGAACTCTTGCCCCTCGGCGAGTTGGCCATGGTGAATTGTCTGTGGCAAGTTAGGCGTGGCGAGTTGTCACAGATCCGTTCTCTTTCACCCTTTTAATGTTCCGGTACAATTTACAATTACTGGGGGGGTTTCAGATATCGATATTTATTTGCTGTTTTGAGCTTTATCGATTCTAGTTAAAACGTTTAGCTTATCCATTAAACATTCATTATCAAGAAGAAGCACTATTTCTATAGTCCAGGGCTGTCAAACTCGCAGCCCGTGGGCCGGATGCGTCACACACTGGCCACATCCGGTTTAGCGAAGGGAAAAAAAATTGCGATATGTCAGGTGACGCCGCCATGATGACGCCATTTTGACACCCCTGCTATAGTCCATTGACCGGACAGATAGTGGAAGCCTCAGTGTCTTTCTCTTGAGTAGCAGAATTAAATAGGATACGTACTGTTTGTATTGGCGCAAAAAAAAAATCTGTTTTTTTAAAAAACGTTTCTGATAACCCATTTCCCAGCATCATTTGTTTGTTTCACAATTGTATATTCAGTGGAATTTCTCTTCCGATTTGTCCCCCTCCGTTTAGGATATAAAATCCATGAGCTTAGTATGAGCCCCCTGCACCAAGTAGAGCTGGCAGCGGGAGAGAAACTATCCTTAAATTGCACAGCAAGGACCGAGCTGAATGTGAGAATTGAGTTTCAGTGGGATTTCCCTTCGAAACAGGTAACAGAAGCAGGGAGCTTCCAAATCCAAGAGGAATTTGCTAAGGGGACCTGTTGTGTGTTATTCTCTCTCTCTCTCTTTTTTAATGCATTGATCAAAATGATCCATTTGAGTCATCAGCAGGGGTGGCCTGCTGGGGGTTCGCAAGGGTTTGGGAGAACCTCTAGCTAAGATTCTGTGCAGTTCGGAGAACCCCCCCAAATCTCACTCCTGGCTGGCCCCGCCCTTCCCCTCCCAGGAGTCCCCACGTGGCCAGTTTTGGATGCAGGTAATTGCAAGGTGGGCGCAGAGGCTCGGGGAAGGCAAAATATGAGCCTACCGGAAGTTCAGGAAGAGGGCCTCCGGAGCCTGGGGAGGCCATTTTCACCCTCCTGGAGGCTCAAGGAAAGCCTCCAGAGCCTGGGGAGGGCAAAAATGCCCCCCGGCCATGGTGCAGGAGGCTGACTAGGCCATGCCCACCCAGCAACTGGTCAGAGAACTTGTTAAAATTTTTGAAGCCCACCCCTTGTCTAGTCCTCAATCGGTTGATGTCTGATTATTAGTAGCAATAGAGTTGGCTGAGCTGGACTACTGAGAGTCAGTTAGGAACTTCCCAAGTTCAGGTCCGCTCTGGACCAAGATTTGATTCTCTTCCATCTCCCCTCTCTGCTTCCTAGAGACAACCGGTTTACAAGAAACCTACGTGAAGCCAGAGTTGTGAGAAAGAAGAGAGAGGAAACACAAAATGGAAGGGGTTTTGAGAGTGCTGAGATGGAAGGGCTAAGCAGGGAAAATAAATCTGGGGTGTGGTTTTTGGGGAGCATGTTCTTTTCATGTAGCTATTTTTATTACTTTTTTTTAATAAAGAAGATAAAAACCAACGCAAAACCATCTTAAGTAAGAAAAAGAAAAGAAAACCAAAGAAAAAGCTAAAAGTTCAAGAAAGGAAAAAAAGTAAAAGAAAGGTAGAAAAATAAAAGCAAAAAAGATACAACGAGGTAACTTCCAATCTTGATGGAAGTTACAAGCCCAATTATAATTTTACCTCTTATTCTATGGTTACAAGAAAACTGCCCTTTTTCTACAATCTACCCAGACAAATCATCAAAACTACAAATCATGCATTCGTTTTTTGTTCTGATTTACCCAAAAATGTCCAGTACTACAGGCTACTTCTGCTGACTGCCGGCTGCCTGCAGTTTGGCAGTTTAAATCCCACCAGGCTCAAGGTTGACTCAGCCTTCCATCCTTCCGAGGTTGGTAAAATGAGGACCCAGATTGTTGGGGGCAATAGGCTGACTCTGTAAACTGCTTAGAGAGGGCTGTAAAAGCACTGTGAAGCAGCGTATAAGTCTAAGTGCTATTGCTATCTATACTCCAGTGGCTACATCTGCTGAATCTGTCCCAGGAGTCAGAAACCTAATGCTGATAAATGAATACTCCCCATTTTCTTCCTTCTAGTCAAATTACCAATTTTAAGCCATTGGGAGGGGACATTTGCAGGGTTGTGGGTCAAAAACTGCAAGATTTTGGACACTGCACTGTGAATGAGTCTTGCTCTTTTGTGCATGCATGTACAAAGGGTTCGATCTTCGATTGTAATGGTTTCTCCTGAACCAGTCCGGTCTACAGCTGAAAGGATCATGCTGAATAAATGACTTTGAATTCTATTGCAGAAAATGAACGCTGCATTCAAGGAAGGGATGACAGCCTTGGGCAGTGAAATGAAGAAGTTTGTGAGCACCCTCACCATCGAACACGTGACTTTAAGCGACGGGGGTCTGTATATCTGCACGGCCACCAGTAGCCAGATGACAAGGAAACACAAAATTAATGTCATTGTTCACGGTAAGGCTTGATTCAGGATGGACTTGGTTTTCACGCTTCTAAAATGTGAGCTCCTGGGAGAAACCATGAAATGAATTGTCCACAAAATTAAGGCAAACCGCTTGAGTCAAACTTTCGTCTATCTTCAAAATGAATCCTGTCAGCCAGTGATTCTCAATCCGTGGTCCGTGAACCCCTGGAATACGCGATGTCATCACAGAGAGTCCACAACGTCTTGAAACAATGTTATGATTTAAATCTTGAATTAGGTTTTGGGAGAGGGCATGTCACTCACCCACCACTGGGATGACCTTGATTGACAGAGTTTGTGATTTGTTGGATGGGTTCAGACATATGCTAGCTAAACTGCTGGGTCTTAGTTTAGCAAGAAACATGGCTTATTCCTTATTGCTACTGTGGCTTGTTCCACAAACTAGGACTTGGCAGGATATCTGAGTCCTTCCATATTGGTCAATTCAGTATTTTGTTGTTATTATTATTTTTATTGTACAATTTTCTTGGGTTGTATATAACATTTCGATATTCACAATAGCAGTGTAAAGTCTGGGTACAACCCCTGAAGTGAGGACAAGATTATTGAAAGGTGTAGTGAAGGCTCAAAAGAGTGTACAAGCAGCAGAAGTAGAAGAAATACTTAGATCAAACACGAACGAGACAAGAAGAGGAGTATGGGAGATAGAAGTCAATAAGAGTGGAGATACGAAAGCGGGCAAGAGATGAGGGATAAACGTAGAATACTGTTTAATACAGGAGTTGTTCTATTAAGAACTAGTATAAAGATAGAAACTAGAAATGGGGAAAATATTACTTGTTTAATTTGGAAATTATTTTATTAGTGATTAGAAAATAGAAGCAGAAGTTAGAAATGTGGATATGTAAACAAGGATGAAGTCATTTGTATAATTGAATAATGAATATTGAATAATCAAGACGCATAAACCTTATGATTATTTGTTATAAATGTGATCTCTATATGACATCTATAATGTTTGATATTATCAATTGATTATAGAGAAAACTGAACAGAGGGTTTAACTAAATAACACAAAATTTTTAAATAAGGATAAGGAAGACGATGGTGAATAGGATTTGAGAACAATGGTCGTAATTATTGTGTATATAAGATTTACTATCTGTACTTAAAAGAGATTGTACCCAGAATTCAGTGGAGTTTTTTTTTTGTTTTACTATAGGATGAGTGAAAATAAATATCATAAGTTGGTTGTTTTGAGTGGTTAAAGTCTGATTTTGGTTTCTAAAGTCAACAAGCAATTTGAAATCTGCATTTCTTACTAGGGCTAACAGTATCCATTATATTATCAATATTATCAACTGTACTTTCCATTGTTTTAAATGATTATCTTTTAAATTTTTGATAGAAAAGCCTTTTCTCTTTTTGGGCAAAATGCCACTTCTGGTGGAGACCATTCTCAGAGAACCAGCTAAAGTGCCTGTAATATTCAAAGCATATCCACTCCCAGAAGCAAAATGGTAAGAACCGGAGCAAATCTTATTCTTCTTCATCTTCTCTCCTTTTCTGTACACATTTTACAATGTCCAATCACATAGAAACACTGAAGTTCTAAAAGAAAATGTTGGGCTTCTGATTTCTTTGTGAGCAGCTGAAGAAAGCATAATGCCAAATAAAGTTTTATGCTTTTGTTATTATGGTAATGTTACTTACTATAAAACTATATGGTTAGCGTTTAACTGCTTCCATTTTCTTTTACGTTTTTCTTTTTCAAACAAATGAAAATCCCTATTTATCACTGAACTTCACCGAGGATTGCAGACTGATAACCTTTTCTCCAACTTTAACCTAATCATAGGAATATTTTGCAGGCAAAATCAGATTCTCTCACTGCAATGTACTGAGAATGTAGAAAATAGAAGGTGGTCAGATTGCTTTCTCTGTTTTCTCTGTCCTCATCTTTTAAGCCACATTATACCTGTGTTTTGCAGGTATAAAAACGGAGAAGCCATTGTTGCAAATCGTACGGTGAAACTTGGTTACTCTTTAATCATTACTGAAATGAGTGAAAAAGATGCTGGGAATTACACTGTTGTGCTGACCAATCCCATTAACCAGCAGCGTGAAAAGCACACGTTCCATCTGGTGGTAAACGGTAAGATCTTGTTCCATGGAAAAAAAAAAAAGCTACATTTTCTGCAGTTGCTAGTAAACTGGGGGGGAAACTGGCATCATGTTCTCTATGAATTTTAGAAAGTTTGTTCCTAAAGCATCATGCGGCAAGAATACCATGTTTCCCCAACACCAAATAAGACCAGGTCTTATATTAATTTTTGCTCCAAAAGAGGCATTATGGCTTACTTTCCGGTTAGGTCTTATTTTGGGAGAAATACAGTACTAAACGCCTCCATCTGGTTGACGATCTTAACTGGGGCTTATTTTTGGGGTAGGGCTTATATTACGAGCATCCTGAAAAATCATGCTAGGGCTTATTTTCCGGTTGGGTCTTATTTTCGGGGAAACAGAGTAGGTCCATTCGTAGAAGCTTACTTATCAAACGGGTAAAGCAGACTTTAGAGATATACAGGTGAAGTGGCCAAATGTACGTAATGAAAGGAGATGAAATTCAGTGGGGAGAAACGGGTCACGGGGGGGCCACGCCGCAACCCCCCCACACACCGTTTTGGGCCTAGTAGGCCTCCCTGCACTTACCTGGGAGCCAAAACGGGGCACATGGGGACTTCTGGAAGGCGCAGGTAGGCGCAGGGCCAGCTAGCAATTTAACAACCAGTTTGGCCGAAGTGGTGCGAACCGGTTGAATCTCATCACTGATCCACCCACCATTTCTAGAACGTGCAAGTTAACAATCTCACTCGCCTTCCTTTCCTAATCTATTGCAACTCCACTCCCAGCTCACATTTTCCATTTTGATCCACCTCAAGGTCATTTGGATGTTGGTCTATTTGCTTTTCATTCCACTCTAGACACTCTAGTCCAGGGGTTCTCCAACCTTGGCAACTTTAAGCCTGGCTGGGGAATTCTGGGAGTTGAAGTCCGCCAGGCTGTTATGTTCTGAGCTGGGGAAGGACTTTCTTTCCCCCCCCCAATTGATCTATTTTTTTGATTCCAGTTGATCTAACTATGACCTGGTAGTCAACTAGTGAGGTCTGCCTTTCCTGCAAGAAGAAGGGGGACGATCAGTTGTAGTGACCTTAATCTGAATTAAATACTAATCTGGTTCCACAGCTAAACCACTGCAATCTAGGCTTGAGTTTAAATTGACTTCATGAACAGCAATAAAGAGGACTAGCAGCTTAGGTTGAAGTGCTGAAGAGCCCTTAGTCTGGTAGACGAGAGTCCCCCCCAAAAATGTGCCCACAGACACAGGTTGGAAAACCCCCCAAAAGTCTCCAGCTTTCTTAAATAAAGTAATTTTCTAATTTTTTTACGAGTTTGTAAAATATAATTCTGAACACAAGAAGATTAACGCCTGATAATATTCCGAGACTTTGAGAAGTCAAGAGAATTTGATGGTTTCACCCAAGGCTTCATTTGGGATGATCAAGGCTGGTCACTCCCATTTTTTTTGGTTCCTCCTTCTCTGATGGTATCTCCCAAAGTAGCCATCATAATCTTTAAGGTCCTTAGATGTCATAACAAAGAAAGGTGATTTTTGACTGATCATATAAAGGTTGCCTTCCATTGACTTAAAGTGGGATGTTTTCTCTTTTTTCAGCCCTCTTTGATAGAAGCTGGATTTTTTACAATCATAGGCAAGCAGCAAAAACAATCTAGGTTGATGTAAGGAAGGGCCCAATGCATTTGTTTTGTTTGACTTCAGTAACCTCCTCTGTTTATTTATTTTTCAAGAAGGAGGGGAAAGAGGCAGGCTTTTGAAAATCCAGTTTTGTTACAGAAAGAATGTTGTTTTTCATTTGCTGTATATTTTGGTTTGGGCTTTGTGTCCTGGTCTTTTCCTGTCTTCATGCTTCTTCTTACTCCTGCACTACATTGTTTACTTCCCATTACCTCGCCCATCCTGTCATCTTGAGCTTCACCCTTTGCACGCCTCCTTCCTTTGCATTCTCAAGAAACTTCCTTGTCTTTGCTTTAAAAAAAAATAGCAGGGTTGGGTTGTCCTGGAAGAACAATATCCCACAGCTAGCAATCACCATATTCAAATACTGCAATGGAGTGATGTTGGCCACTAAGTAAGAAAGAGTTGATGCTGGCTGAAGCAGTCTTCATTGCCCAAAATACAGATTAACAGAGTTGGAAGGTCATCTTGTAGGTCATCTAGTCCAACCCCCTGCCCAAGTAGGAGACCCTACACCATTTTTGTCAAATGGCAGTCCAATCTTTTCTTGAAAGCCTCCAGTGATGAAGCTCCCGCAACTTCGGAGGCAACTTCTGTTCCATGGGTTGATTGTTCTCACTGTCAGGAAATTTCTCTTCATTTCTAAGTTAAATATCTCCTTGTTCAGTTCCCATCCATAAATCCTTGTATGGCCTTCAGGTGTTTTGGAAAATAGCTTGACCTGTTCCTCTCTGTGGCAGCCCCTCAAATATTGGAACACTGCTATCATGTCTCCCCTGGTCCTTCTCTTCACTAGGCTAGCCATGGTTTAAGGTCTCCTGGTTCTGCAGGGGGTTAGACTAGATCAGCGGTCACCAACTGGTGGTCCGTGGACCACTGGTGATCCGTAAGAAAATTTTGGTGGTCCGCAGAAAAATTATTTGCATTTTTTATATTGCACTAAATCAGGGGTCCTCAAGCTATAGCCCCTGGGACAGATACATGCAATGAACGTTTGTGTTGCTGCAGAGAGTCTCCCCCTTCGGGGTCTTTTTATGTGGGTCGGGGGGCGGGAGAAATTCTGATGGGGTCTGCTTCAGCCTCCTGGTGAGGGGCTTTGGGCGAAGGCTGGAGAGAAGTGCTGCTGGTGGCAAGGAGCTGGAGGGCCTTGTTCCATTGGGACTGCATCATGGCCTAAAATTGGCTGATCATCTCAGCCCGCTGAGCCTCCAGGCGCCAGTACCTGGCCTTGCACTCCCGCAGGTCTTCCCTCTGCTTGGAAAGCCTATGCTCGTAGTCCTCAGTGAGGTGCTTCTACTGAGCCTCCTTCTCGATCAGATCCAATTTGAACTGAGCCAGCTGTTTTGCCAACTCTTTCTCACGGTGGCTGCTTAGCTCCAACAACTGCTTCCTGTTGAGGGCCTAAGGAGCTCAGGCAGACAGGCGAGGAGTGGCTGGGAGGGGAGGGCGACAGAGGCCGGTGAGGTGCCCCTCGACATGAGTGACATCGAGTTGGCCATGCCTACCCAGTCACATGGCCACCTAGCCACGCCCACCCAGCCGATCATTAGGCAGATCATATTAGTGGTCTGCGGGATTTAAAATTATGAATTTAGTGGTCCCTGAGGTCCGAAGGGTTGGTGACCCCTGGACTAGATGACTTCCAAGGTCCCTTGTAACCCTTTCTGTTATTCTGTTAAGTGCTTCAGGATGGTAACAAGGAGCAAAGTGCAGTTTTTCACTTTCTATGCCGCCCACTCTCTGAGGACTCTGGGCGGCTTACACCAAAGACAGTATACTAAATAGCATATTGCCCCCTAACAATCTGGGTCCTCATTTTACCCACCTCGGAAGGATGGAAGGCTGAGTCAACCTTGAGCCGGTGAGATTTGATCCGCTGATCTCCTGAACTAGACCCGCCTGGACTACTGTGATGCTCTCTACATGGGGCTCCCCTTGAAGAGCACCTGGAGGCTCCAACTGGTCCAGAATGCGGCCGCGCGGGTGATTATAGGAGCGTCATGGCGCTCCCATGTAACACCTCGCCTGTGCGAGCTGCACTGGCTTCCAGTGGTCCTCCGGATCCGATTCAAGATGTTGGTGACCACTTTTAGAATGCTCCATGGCTTAGGACCTGGATATCTACAAGACCGCCTTCTGCCTCCGAGAGTCTCCCACCGACCAGTACGCTCCCACAGAAAGGGGCTCCTTGGGGTGCCATCGGTCAAACAATGTCAACTGGTGGCCCCCAGGGGGAGAGCTTTCTCTGTGGGAGCACCTGCCCTCTGGAACAAGCTCCCCCCGGAGATACAGACGATCCCGGATTTACGTACCTTCCGCCCTCAAGACTTTTTTATTTCAACAAGCCGGGCTGGCCTAACTTCTCCAATTGTTTAATTTGAATTTGAATTTTAAATGGGGTATTTTAATTGTTGGGCCAAATTGTTTAATATATTTTAAATTGCTTTTAAATTTCTGAATTCTATGTTTTTTACCTTTGGCTGTTCACCGCCCTGAGTCCTTCGGGAGAAGGGCGGTATATAAATTTAAATATAAAAATAAATAAATAAATAAATAAATAAATAAATAAATAAATAAATAAATAAACTAGCAGTCAGCTGAAGTAGCTGCAGTACTGCACTCTAACCACTGCGCCACCTCAGCTCTTCCTGCTGATTGCTGCTCATTTACTTATTTTTTCCTCTGGCAGTTCCACCTCAAATCGGGGAGAATGCTCTCCTTTCGTCTGTGGATTCCTACAAGTATGGCTCCACCCAAACTCTCACGTGCACAGTGTATGCGGTCCCAAGGGTGAGCCACATTCAGTGGTACTGGCAACTGGAGGAAGAATGCACTTTCAATCCACAGTAAGCAGAACGCCATTTCCCGGTTATTGCTTTTCCCACATTTGATTTTTGTACAAATACATGGTGTGCGTGACTTGTGACTCTTGACAAATCTCTTCTGATCCTTCGGAAAATCTTTCCCCTGGAGGTAAGGCAGGCCTCAGTAACAGTAACAGAGTTGGAAGGGACCTTGGAGGTTATCTAGTCCAACCCACTGCTCATACAGGAGACTATATGACCTCCACGCAGGAGACTTAGATGACCTACTAGGGATTCAAGCCGCCGAACTGCCGACCTTTCTGATCGACAAGCTCAGTGTCTTAGCCACTGAGCCACCTTTCCTAGCCTTTTGAAAAAGGGTTAAAATGTGGCTCCGTGGCTATGCTTGGGAAGCCCAAAAGAGCACGGACTTGTGGGGTTGGTTCAGTGGTGAAATCCAAATTTGTTTACTACCGGTTCTGTGGGCGTGGCTTTTTTGGGCGTGGTGAGGCTTGGTGGGCATAGCTTGGTAGGCATGGCAGGGGAAGGATACTGCAAAATCTCCATTCCCTCCCTACTCCAGGGGAAGGATACTGCAAAATCTCCATTCCCACCCTACTCCAGGGGAAGGATACTGCAAAATCTCCATTCCCACCCTACTCCAGGGGAAGGATACCGCAAAATCCCCATTCCCTCCCCACTCCAGAGGAAGGATACTGCAAAATCTCCATTCCCACCCCATTCCAGGGGAAGGATATTGCAAAATCTCCATTCCCACAGCACTCTGGGTCCAGCCAGAGGTGCCATTTGCCGGTTCTCTGAACTACTCAAAATTTCCGCTACCTGTTCGCCAGAACCTGTCAGAACCTGCTGGATTTCACCCCTAGGTTGCTTAGTGCCATGAGAATCCTTCCTTTGCCTTTTCCCCACCAATTTTTAACAGGGTTATTCTTGCCTCCTTAAAAAAAAACAAAACACTATTATAATTTTTTAAATGTTTAACTCACAATTTTGACTCTTAACATTTTCATTTTTTTTTATTTCGATGTACCACCCAGAACCCCTCTTTTGAGGGAGATGGGTGGTTTGAAAATGTGAAATATAAATAAATAATACTGTTTGTCTACATCCGGTTATGCCTCAAGTCAAAACTACTCAGGTTCCCTCCAGGTTTATTGTGTGCCAGATTTTGGCTAGAGGGGGCTGCTGGCTCTCTGCTTTGGAAGCTTTTATTGTTGTGGATACATATAACAGATCTGTAATATTTTACCCCAGTTTTCTCTGCTGGGGCAAACCAGGCCTTCATTTGGCTGGGTATCTTATCTCTATGAAAGTGAATGTCAGCGGAAACCCCTTGATTGATGGTAGGAGTGGTAGAAGTCACTTCTGACCAAGGGCTACTTCGCTTCCCTTATCTGAATTTTGCAGAAGAACAGACTTCCTTTTAGAATAAAAAAAAGAAAAAGAAAAGGGAATCTGTTTTCCTGTTGTTGTTTTGAAAACAACTTCCTGTCTGTCGTCTTCCTTTGGTGCCTAACTATTTCCTATGCAAGGTTGGGTAGTCCAGAGAAATAATTGATTTCCATGTTAACCTTTGCCTTTCTTTTAACAAAATTCGCTCCGATTCGTTGATTTTGTGAATGGGGGTTTTATTTGCAAAACGCTTTAACATCTAACTGGGTTGAGCTGGCCAAAATAAGGAAAATTTACCTTGAGGCAGTGGTGAAATCCAAATTTTTTTACTACCGATTCTATGGGCGTGGCTTGGTGAGCGTGGTGTGGCTTGGTGGGCGTGGCAGGGGAAGGATACTGCAAAATCTCCATTCCCACCCCACTCCAGGGGAAGGATACTGCAAAATCCCCATTCCCTCCCCACTCCTGGGAGAAAGATACTGCAAAATCTCCCATTCTGGAGCCAGCCAGAGGTGGTATTTGCTGGTTCTCTGAACTGCTCAAAATTTCCGCTATCGGTTCTCCAGAACCTGTCAGAACCTGCTGGATTTCACCCCTGTCCTATATCAAAATATATTCAGTTTCTTCTTTATCCTTAATAGTGAGTGTTAGTCTATCCATTTCTGCGCATTCTAATATTTTCTTAATTACATTCCCCCTCAGACGGAATCTCATCATTTTTCCATTGTTGTGTCAATACAATTCTAGTTGCGGTTAATATATGCAAGACCAGCGAAGATGCTAAAAACTTTTTAAAACAATAAAAACAAAAAACACTCTAGATAAATATATATATAGGGTCAAGATACTTGGCCAGTTAACAATCCTAGCATATTGGAGAGATAATGCTCCACAATGCTGCACAATAAACGTTGCAGGAAAAATTGTATTTTTCCACCTGCTTCTTCTTTTTTTTTTTCCCAAGAGGCAGGTGGACTTTCTGGTTCTTCTTTGAAGAGGTTTTGCTTCTCATCCAAGAAGCTTCTTTGCTTCTCATCCAAGACGTGAAATGTCTTCAAAGGAAAACCAGAAAGTTGGGATAACCTTGGGGTAACCATGACTTGGATAGACCTTTGCCACCTGCTATTAACAATTGTGATACTTTTTTGTGATCATTTCCTTAGCAAAGCATACAAGTGTAAAATGAAATGTCTTTGATTTTTCTCAGCCAAGCTGGAATGGGGAATAATCCCTATGCGTGTAAGAAATGGAAAACCATAGCAGACCGAAGAGGAGGAAATCAGATTGAGATCTTAAAAGATCAATTTGTTGCTATTGCTGGGAAAATGAAGGTGAGACATTGATTTCTTATTTGCTGTTTGCAAAGCTGGTGGAAAGTTGGGCGGTAGAATTTAAGTTGCTCCATTGCAAATCTCGCTGGGCTTAAACAAAATGCCATATAAATAAAGAACTCTGTGCATAAAACAGAAAATGACATAATCCCGTGACCGAAAACTGAGAAATGATTATTTAATTTAATTTAATTTAATTTCCAATTTATATACCGCCCTTCTCCCTGAGGATTCAGGGCGGTGTACAGCCAAGATAAGAACGTAGAATACAAATATTAAAAACAGTTAAAAATATATATAAATTTGGCCCGAAAGTTAAGAAATCACAAACTGATTAAAAGAATTTAAAAATTTCTTCTTAAGCCAGCCCGGCTTGCTGGAAAAGATGGGTTTTAAGGGCACGACGGAAGGCATTGAGGTCATGGATTCTCCTTATCTCAGGGGGCAACTGATTCCAGAGGGTAGGAGCCCCCACAGAGAAGGCCCTCATTAACTTAGTGGTAAAATAGATTTGATAGCATAATGCATCAAGCTAAACAAAACTTGGCAGGTTTTTTTTTTTTTTTTGTTACCAATATTAATCATCCCTAACATTTATTATCATAAATATATGCGTTGAAATGTTAATTTTAAAGGGTTTTCAAAACACTTATAAAAGGTAAAATCTAAAAGATTTGAAACTGAGCAGTTGGGTTTAGTTAGAAATGGCGTTTTAACTGTTCTTGGAGATTTTTAATATGATATGAGAAGCAATATAGAAATGATGATAATGATAACAGATAACATAACACAATAACATTAGTGTTTACTTGGTGTTAAGCCCCATAAGATGATGGCTTTTCTCCAGTAAGTATGCAGTTTCGTTTATAGCTTAAGGCTGCAATTTTAAGCAATATTATTTTAAGCAATATTATTATTATATAATACAACAAAATTGTATTATTATTAATAATAATTGTATTATGCTTCTTAGGTCAATGAATCAATTCGTAGCAGAAAATTCATTCTGAACTCAGGAAGTCTAAGTTTTACATGAGTCAGGGATCAGTGTGATATCAAAAGATATTTCTGGAGAATGTGCTGGTTTTTCAGGCTTCACTTCATCTCTGGATTTTTATGGACAACAATAAGCTCTCTATTAAGAGAGTTGAGGAATGATCAACAGTTTTACTTCTATTCATCGCAGAGGGTAGTCAACTGACCATCTAAATTTCAGATGCCAATACATCCAACAAAGGTGGATTGTGTTGCAATAGAAGGAATAGCCTGGTTAAACTAACACGATGACATGTTCCATTGACTCATTTTGCAAAAAGTCAGCTCAAGACTTTAGCCTTAAACCACTTGACTTGATCTCTTGCAGACGGTTAGCAGCCTCACCGTTCAAGCAGCAAATGTGTCCACCTTGTACAGATGCGTAGCGAATAATAAAGCTGGAGAAGGTGAACGAATCATCTCCTTTCATGTCACTAGTAAGTCTTGCTTTCCGAACCCATCTACCACATTTTTCTAAGTATGCCTCCCTCTTGGTTATTTGTGAAATCCCATATTTTTCGGAGTATAAGACGCACCTTAGTTTTTGGGGAGGAAAATAAAAAAAAAAAAGCTGATTGGTGGGTGGATCAGCCTCCTGGAATACTCCCAATCAGCTGTTCCCAGAGGTGAATTTTATCAACAGGTTCCTTGGTTGTGAGCTCTGTGCCTTGCTTTTTTTTCAGCCTCTCAAACTTTTGAAACTCTGTTTCAGAAAAAAACTTTTTTTTCCTGCCTCTGAAAGCCTCCGAAACAAAGCTTCAGAAAAAAAGCCTTTTTTTTTCTGAAGCTCTGTTTCGAAGCTTTTTTTCTGAAGCTTCTTTCAGAGGCTTTTTTTCTAAAGGACTATCTGTGCTCTGTTCAATCTCCTTTCTTTGGTATTGGTATGTAGATTAACCTCTTCCCATCTGTTGGCTATTGTGTCATTCTCCAGATTTGTTAACATACAGTAGTTTGGTTAGAACCTTTACTGATTCTTCTTTTGTTGCTTGCCATATTATTTTAGATAAAAGCCTTTCAGAGAATTTTTTTTTTGAAGCTTCGTTTCTGAGGCTTTTTTCTGAAGCTTTTTTCAGCTTCTGAAATCTCCTTTTGCAAGGCTGGGCAGGGCTGCATTCGGAGTATAAGACGCACCCAGATTTTCACCCTCTTTTTTGGGGGAAAAAGGTGCGTCTTATACTCCAAAAAATATGGTACTTTTCCAAACGATCACGGCAAGAAGACCGAGTTTGCTGGGATCAAGGATAACCCCAGTCTGTTTTGGTGGGTTCAAAACGGGTAAAATATTTCAGATTTTGGGGTGGGTGTTTTAGAATTTGAAATGGCTGGCTGGTGTCAAATGTCCGGCTTATGGCTTCCCTCTGGTGGGATTCAAAAATTTTTACTACCAGATCTGTGGGCGTGGCTTGGTGGGCGTGTCATGGCTTGGTGGGCGTGGCAGGGGAAGGATACTGTAAACTCTCCATTCCCTCCCCATTCCAGGGGAAGGTTACTGCAAAATCCCCATTTCCTCCCGATCAGCTGGGACGCAGGAGGCAGAGAATAGATGGGGGCAGGACCAGTCAGAGATGGTATTTGCTGATTCGCTGAATTACTCAAAATTTCTGCTACCGGTTCTCCAGAACTGGTCAGAACCTGTTGAATACCACCTCTGGCATCCCTCCTTAAAACTTTCCTCAGGGAAGAAGTTTCAGTTCCACCCACTCTGGGTTGAAAGAATGTTCTTTGCAATCGGTGGCCCATCCTTGAAGTAGCGAGTAGAAACAGAGTCTGCTCATCTCCAATATTTCCAGGAGCAGCTAAGATGACAGTCACAATTACTTGATCAAAACCCTTTTTCATACACGTAAAAAGGGGCTGAGGCTTTGATGGAGTGATTTGCATGAGTTGTAGTGGCACAGTGGCTAGAGTGGCGTATTGCAGGCTAATTCTGCTACCTGCCGGCTGCCTGCAGTTTGGCAGTTCGATTCTCACTGGCTCAAGGTTGACTCAGCCTTCCATCCTTCTGAGGTGGGTAAAATGAGGACCCAGATTGTTGGGGGCAATACGCCGACTCTGTAAACCACTTAAGGTAAAGGTTCCTCTTGCAAATATGTGCTAGTCGTTCCCGACTCTAGGGGGCGGTGCTCATCTCCGTTTCAAAGCCAAAGAGCCAGTGCTGTTTGAAGATGTCTCCATGGTCATGTAGCCAGCATGACTAAACACCAAAGGCACACAGAACACTGTTACCTTCCCACCAAAGGTGGTCCCTATTTTTCTACTTGCATTTTTTACGTGCTTTCGATCTGCTAGGTTGGTAGAAGCTGGGACAAGTAATGGGAGCCCCCCCATTACGCGGTACTAGGGATTTGAACCGCTGAACTGCTGACCTTTTGATCGACAAGCTTAGCGTCTTAGCCACTGAGCCACCATGTCCCTTGTAAACCACTTAGAGAGGGCTAAAGCACTATGAAGCGGTATATAAGTCTTAGTGCTTTTGCTGTTGTAGATGTTTTCCTGTGTTGAATCCCTCTGAAGAGATCTGGGAATATTTCAAAGGCTCATCCAGCATTATTCTCTCTTAGAGCATGGCAGGCAATGGCTCTCTGATCATTTCCTTTTGATCCTTTATGATCCTTTTCCTTTTATTCCCAGGAGGCCTTGAGATCAGCCTTCAGCCTCAAGGCCAGCCTACTAAGAAGCACAACGTAACCTTGCAATGCACCGCTGGCAAGCACACCTATGAAAGCCTTACCTGGTTTAAATTCAGCCCTCGGGTTTCAGGGACTCGCCTGGATAGACTGCCTATGCCTGTGTGCAAGAATTTGGAGGCCCTCCAGAAACTGAACGGCACCACCGTAAAGGCGAATAGGGAGACCGTTACCCTGAGTCTCTTTCTCCACAATATCACCCTCCAAGATAGCGGGGAGTACGTGTGCATCGCTCTGGACAGAAAGAGCAAAACTCGGCACTGCCTTGTCAAACATCTCACGGTTTACGGTAAACCCAATGCTGCATGGGGAAATGTTGCATTCAATTTTTACTCAATCTATTTCTCACCCTGATTGAATCTGTCTAACGATAGGTAAACAAAAAAAAAAACAAACTGTGTTCACCCATGTGAATATTATTATTATTATTATATTTATTTATTTATTTATTTATTTATTTATTTATTTATTTAATTAATTAATTTGTATACCACCCTTCTCCAACAGGACTCAGGGCGGTGAACAGCCACAGTAAAACACAACACAAGATATAAAATTTAAAAACAATTTAAAAAACATTAAATAATTTTGGCCACCAATAATTAAAATCACCTAATTAAAACCAATTATAAATTTGAAACCGTAAGGATGGGGTCAAGCCAGTCCGGCTAGATGAAATAGATGTGTTTTCAGGGCCCGACGAAAAGTCCGGAGGTCTGGTATCGTGCGTATCTCTGGAGGTAGGTTGTTCCAGAGGGCAGGTGCCGCCACAGAGAAGGCTCTCCCCCTGGGGGTCGCCAGCCGACATTGTCTGGCCGACGGCACCCTGAGGAGGCCCTCTCTGTGTGAGCGAACTGGCCAAATATACGCTTCTAGCTTTAACTGTAGGGTCTCTCTTAAATGCTCGGGGGCAAGGACAGTTAATTTTATTGGTAGATAAAGACTCTGTATGGTGGACACGGAGAGCCGTCAAATTTTGTCCAATGGCAAGCTTGGAAATCGCTGCATAATTTTCATGCGTTTCCCAGCTTCCAAATGACAGAAAGTTGTGTTGTCCGTTTCGGCCATCGTTGTCTAAGGAGGTCACTTTATAGCAGAGGTCTTCAAACTTGGCAGCTTTAAGACTTGTGGACTTCAACTCCCAGAATTCTCCAGCCAGCTGGAGAATTCTGGGAGTTGAAGTCCTCAAGTCTTAAAGCTGCCAAGTTTGAAGACTTCTGCCTTAGAGTAATTTAACGCTTAAGGAGCGATCACCGTGCAAAGCAAGAAAATACAGAGGAAAAGGCAGCATACCAAAATAAATATAGTTAAAATTGTTCTCAAAGTGTGTCTTTTCTTGCAGTGTAAAACATTGGTTGAGTTGTGTAAAAATATTGGTTTACTCTGTAAAACGTTGGCTGGGTTGTGTAAATCCTTGGTTTACTGTGTAAAACATTGGTTGAGTTCTGCAACTTTGTGGGGCCAAAGAGTGCATTGGAACCTGAGTGATGTGCAAGAAACTATACTCCCAAAGTAGTGGATGGAGCTAGAGCAAAAAATGCATTTGATTTCATTTAAAACAGGGGTGTTAAACTCAAGGCCCGTGGGCCGGATGCGGCCCACTGGGTGCTTAGATATGGCCCACGGGACCACCCCAGAAACAGCAAAGGGCCAGCCTGTGGTGCCTCTGCCAGCTAAAATGGAGCTCAGGAGGGCCATGTGCGGCCCTTCCAGGTTCCGTTTTCACTGGCAGAGGGCTGCAGGAGGCCATCATGGCTTAAAACGGAGCCTGGGTGGGCCACGCACGGCCTCCCTGAGCTCCGTTTTTGCTGGCAGAGGGCTGCAGGAGGCCATCACAGCCAAAAACAGAGCCTTTGATGAGTGATGTCTAGCTGGCCATGTACCCTGCCTGCCCCAGACTCCCCGAGGTCAAACACAACCCTGATGCGACCCTCAGTGAAATTGAGTTTTACACCCTTGATTTTAAAATGAACGGAAATCAAGTTGAGTTATTGTGACTGCGTTCCAGATTAGTTCCCTGTTCTTTTTTTCCCCTTAACCATTAAATTTGATCAGATTTATCTGGGGGCCATATTCACGTCTCCCAGGGATTTAGGTTGTGCTTCTGAAATAAATTAACTGACACAAACAAACTCCGTGTATTTATGCTGGAACACTTGTGTTCCTTCCGTAATTTTAGGAAAAGAACTTCTAGCAAGGCTACTAACATTGTGTTCCTCCCATTAATTATAATGAAGCATCGGTTGCTTTCAGGTTTGCCTTTCTAGAGCGGCCATCTTTCAGGGTCTGCTCTTAACATCTGTCTTTCTTTCAAACAGAACCAGTGGCACCCGCAATTACAGGACACCCTCAGAATCAGACAACGAACATCGGCGAAACAATAGAAGTTGTTTGCACAGCAAGTGGAATTCCTTCCCCACATATCACTTGGTTTAAAAACAATAATTCTCTTATTGAAGACTCAGGTGAGAAAGTTCTCCTCTATCCCAATTGCTTACGTTAAATTGCCTGCTGATGTTTCAATGCTCAGTGTATTGCTTCTTCAACAAATATTTTGTCTATCGTGTTTCCCCCGAAATAAGACCCTGTCTTATTTTTTTGCCACCCAAAAAAATGGGAAGAAATGGGCCAGGAAGGCAAGTGTCGGGGTATGCGGGGCCTGGCTGTAATTGTCTGAAGTTAAGTAGTAGGGCAGCTCCACCACCCCCATCCCCACCCTAATCTTAATTTTTACCCGTGCACCCTGGAGTGGATGGAGTCTTAATTAGGGCTTATTTTGGAGGTAGGGCGTATATTGGGCGCAGGTGTGAAAATCAAGCTAGGGCTTACTTTCGGAGTAGGTCGTATTTGGGGGGAAACATGGTATTATGTCTCTTAAATGCTCCTACCACTCCTTATTGATCATTCAGTGAACAAAACTGTGATTCCAAAGCTCTGTCCTTTTGTCTGACATCTGCTACCTCTCCTGCTGATGCTTGTCAGTTACATCTTTTATTTATTTTATTATTTTATTATTCATATTTCTATGCCGCCCACTCTCCAATGGCTCTGGGCGGCTTACACCAAAGACAGTATACTAAATAGCATATTGCCCCCTAACAATCTGGGTCCTCATTTTACCCACCTCGGAAGGATGGAAGGCTGAGTCAACCTTGAGCCGGTGAGATTTGATCCGCTGATCTGCTGAACTAGCAGTCAGCTGAAGTAGCTGCAGTACTGCACCCTAACCACTGCGCCACCTCGGCTCTCTTTTAATAAGAGCTACCTTAGTTTCTTGCCCAATCTCAGTAAACCATCGACTTTATTCACCAAAAGGCATTATACAATTCGTTTATCGTGTTGAAGGGTTGCAGCATGAAAACCTTCGTCAATTAAATAAATAAATAAATAAATAAATAAATAAATAAATAAATAAAAAAATAAATAAATAAATAAATAAATAAATAAAATTGATTTATTTTTGTAGATCAAAACAAAATAACCAACCCCCCCCCAAAAAAGGGCCAAAAAACCACCTTTGATTAAACAAAAAATGATAAAAGATATACCGTATTTTTCGAAGTATAAAACGCACCCTTTTCCCCCCAAAAAAGAGGGTGAAAATCTGGGTGCGTCTTATACTCCGAATGTAGCCCCACCCAGCTTCTCAAACGGAGGTTTCAGAGGCTGAAAAAAGCATCAGAAAAGAAGCTTCAGAAAAGAAGCCCCCAAACAAAGCTTCAGAGCCTTTTTTTCTGAAGCTGTTTCGGAGGCTTTCAGAGGCAAGAAAATAAAGTTTTTTCTGAAATGGAGTTTCAGAAGTTTTAGAGGCAGAAAAAAAAAAGCAAGGCACAGAGCTCACAACCAAGGAACCTGTTGCTAAAATTCACCTCTGGGAACAGCTGATTGGGGGTATTCTGGGAGGCCGATCCACCCACCAATAAGTTTTTTTCTTATTTTCCTCCCCCAAAAATAAGTTTTTTTTTTTTTTGCTTTAATTTATATGCCGCCCTTCTCCGGAGATTCAGGGCGGCTTACAATGCGTTAAGCAATAGCCTTCATACTTTTGTATATTTATACAAAGTCAGCTTATTGCCCCCACAATCTGGGTCCTCATTTCACCTACCTTTGAAAGGATGGAAGGCTGAGTCAACCTTGAGCCTGGTGGGATTTGAACTTGCAGTAATTGCAGGCAGCAGATGTTAATAACAGTGCATTAGTCCACTGTGCTACCAAGGCTCTACCAAATTGCATCTTATACTCCGGTGCGTCTTATACTCCGGTGCGTCTTATACTCCGAAAAAATACGGTAGTTCCATCAGGAAAAAAATAAATGCCTGAAGTCCAACCAACTATTGATTAATTATATTTACAGTTGTCAGATTGGTACGGAGATACAATCTGGTTCACTTGGTACATTTTGATTGGAAGCCTCTCCTAAGGCTAGAACTGTGTTGGCTTGGTTTCACTCGTATTGTATCTCCATTATCATGACTATGTATGTCTTAGGGTTGTACCTCATCACAAAAACTCGTTCCAGATTTCAATCCAGACAAGCTCGGGTTCAGATAAATGCTATATCCAGCTCTGTAGTTCAGTTGTTCAAAAAGAAAATGTAATGTGGAGTTTTAGAATGCTCCCATTTGGAGTTCTCGCAAAAGAAGTTATTTGTACTTCTTGTTGTCTCTGCTACAAGGTATTGTCCTGAAAGATGGGAATCAACGGCTCACCATACGAAGAGTGAGAAAGGAAGATGAAGGTCTTTACATGTGCCACGCCTGCAATGTCCTGGGTTGTACGAAGGCAGCTGCCTTTTTTGAGGTGGAAGGTTGGTAGCACTATGCATTTCCAAGCTGATGTTGGAAAGTCTTATTTTCTGTGCCAATCCTCCTTAGAATTGTATTATCTCTGCTGGTTAACTCCTTAGAATTGTGTTAACGCTGTTAATGCAAGTCCAGATGCTACTAGATTAATTGATACTGAGGTAAAAACAGAGCTGAGGAGAAGCCTGCCAAATCTGGGGCCATACAGGAAGTCCAGAAGCTGGATGGCAGCCCATAGGAGAAGTGCCAAAATCTAAATGGAAGAGAACACCTTGGAACTTAGGAGGGATGTGGATTCTACTGTCAGGCATGAAAGACCAAATTCACACACGAAGGTTCAATAAAACTGATTTATTACTAAAAGTTTATGCATAGGAATCTTCTCAACTAATGGTTGGCATCTGCTTAGAGTTAGAAGAAAGGGAAGTTAGACTTAATTTTGTCGTGGCAGTGTGGGATTTTTACCCTTTACAGGTTCTGCCAGATAGATAGATAGATAGATAGATAGATAGATAGATAGATAGATAGATAGATAGATAGATAGATAGACAGACAGACAGACAGACAGACAGACAGACAGACAGACAGACAGACAGACAGATACCCTGTTTTCCCCAAAATAAGACATCCCCTGATAATAAGCCCAATCGGGCTTTTGAGCACATGGCAATAAGGCCAAGCACTTATTTCAGGGTTCAAAAAAATATAAGACAGGATCTTATTTTCGGGGAAACACGTTAGATAGATAGATAGATAGATAGATAGATAGATAGATAGACAGACAGACAGACAGACAGACAGACAGACAGACAGACAGACAGACAGATACCCTGTTTTCCCCAAAATAAGACATCCCCTGATAATAAGCCCAATCGGGCTTTTGAGCACATGGCAATAAGGCCAAGCACTTATTTCAGGGTTCAAAAAAATATAAGACAGGATCTTATTTTCGGGGAAAACACGTTAGATAGATAGATAGATAGATAGATAGATAGATAGATAGATAGATAAATAGATAGATAGATTTAGAAGATTCTCCCTCCCTCCCTCTCTCTCTCTATATATATATATATAGAACCGAGTAGATGTGATTCTACTGAGCTGGAGCTACAAAAAAACCTTGGCTACGTAGGGAAAACCTGGCTAGAAGAAAAACATATATATATATATATATATATATATATATATATATATAGAGAGAGAGAGAGAGAGAGAGAGAGAGAGAGAGAGAGAGAGAGAGAGAGAGAGGAGAGAGAGAGAAACAGACAGATAGACAGAAAGACAGACACACACACACAGAGAGAGAGAGAGAAGACAGACAGACAGATACACACCCACCCAACCGGAGACAGACAGATAGACAGACAAACAGACACACACACAGAGAGAGAGACAGACAGACAGACTCGGAAATTATCTAAATGTAGTATATATACTGCATTTAGATAATTTCTGAATAGCTCTTTTAATTTGAGCCAAGTATCAATCAGAATAACAGAATACGAGAGTTGGAAGAGTCCCTGGAAGTCTTCTAATCCAACCCCCTGCTCAGGCAGGAGACCCTATGCCAGGGGTCAGCAACCTGTGGCTCTGGAGCTACGTGTGGCTCTTTCTCCCCTCTGCTGCGGCTCCCTGTCACTCAAAAAAATTGGCGTCACAACTGCCAATGCGCGACACCTGCCGGCACGTGATTTATTGAGCTTCTCAACCCCTGGTAGGTCAACCATGGATAAATCCAAGAAAAGAAAAGTTTCAGAAGAAAAGAGAATGTTTAATTCAACTACATATGCTAGTTTTGTGGCTGCTCAAGAAATAGTCAGGGTTTTGTGGCTCCCGGTGTTTTCTTTTCTGTGGGAAATGGGTCCAAATGGCTCTTTGAGTGTTTAAGGTTGCAGATTCCTGCCCTATACCATTTCAGACAAATGGTTGTCCAATCTCTGCTTAAAAACAGCATTCTTGGAGCCCATGGCCATGCAAACATTATGTCTTCAACTTTTTAAAGCAGCTGCATTTTTCTTGAGAATTGCAAAAGATCCTGCAACTAACATGTGATCCTCGGAAAAGATACAGCTGCTTGAAAGAGTTTCAGATGAGTAAATTATTCTTGCCCCTGCATGCTGCAAAACACTATTCTGGTACTGAATGCACAGCTCTGTGATCTCATGTTAATATGTTTAAATATCAAAACACTATTTCCCTATACCGTTTTTTCAAAAGTACTGCTTCAGTGTCACAAGCTTCTTTTTTTAAAAAAACAAAACAAAACCAACACGTCAGAGTTACATCCTGTTATTCTTACAATCTCCAGCCTGAGATGGATGTGTTGTGCTAAGCAACTTCTATTGTTGGATGAAAAATGTCTGTAAATAATCCTTTGTGCAAATATATAACACCAGTTATTTAACAAATAAGATTCGTTTCCTCAGAATCTAGCATGTTTTCTTTCCTTTTTTTAGTGGAAACAACTGAAGCTTTATTCTCTGCCTCTCTGATCTCTCTTTTCCTCCCCTGCCCCCCTCTCTCCCCCTCTCTGTTTTTCTGTCTGTCTGCCTGTCTTGTTTTCTCTCCCTCTCTCCCTCTCTCTCTGTTTCTGTCTGTTTTTCTGTCTGCCTGTCTTGTTCTCTCTCTCCCCCTCTCTCCCTCTCTCTCTGTTTCTCTGTCTGTCTGTCTTGCTCTCTGTCTCTATGTCTCTCTTTCCCTCTCTGTTTCTCTGTCTGTCTGTCTTTTACTCTGTTTCTCTCCCTCTCTCTCTTTCTGTCTTTCTGTCGGCCTGTCTTGTTCTCTCTCTCCCCCTCTCTCTGTTTCTCTGTCTGTCTGTCTTGCTCTCAGTCTCTATGTCTCTCTTTCCCTCTCTGTTTCTCTGTCTGTCTGTCTTTTACTCTGTTTCTCTCCCTCTCTCTCTTTCTGTCTTTCTGTCGGCCTGTCTTGTTCTCTCTCTCCCCCTCTCTCTGTTTCTCTGTCTGTCTGTCTTGCTCTCAGTCTCTATGTCTCTCTTTCCCTCTCTGTTTCTCTGTCTGTCTGTCTTGTATTCTGTTTCTCTCCCTCTCTCTGTTTCTCTGTCTTTCTGTCTTTCTGTCTGCCTGTCTTGTTCTCTCTATTGATGAGTTTTTGGTTCTTAGGCATTCTAAAAACATACTAGAAGAGAATTTGCATGTGCTGTCCATGTGTCTATCCTAATCTCTAACTTCATATGGGATGAACGACAGGGTTTCCTTCATTTATCCCTATCTGCCTTCTCAAGTGGTTTTGGAAACATAAATCCCAGAAGACCTATTGACTAAGATGAGACACTTGAAATCCCACAAATTTGGAGAACATTTGGAGGAAGGCTGATTGTGTCCCCTCTGTTGGTTAGACCCAATAATCCCCTTCTACTGTAGCTGACTTTCTCCATTCACCTTCATAAAATTAAGTCTTTCTCATGCAGTTGACTTATCATCATCTAAGCCTGATACTTTCTATTTACTCTTTCATTTCATGATGAAATGATCCATTTCTAGCTCCCTGGCATTTTCCATCAGCTTGGATCTCTCCTTGATACGTATTCATTACTAAATTGTCACATTTTTTTTTCTGGAGTTGCGCCTATCTTAAGCGAGCTGAAAGATTCAGGCCAACTGAAAAACCTACAATTGTTTTAAATGGGACAATATTTTTTTTTTTAATTTGATTTATATGCTGCCCTTCTCCGGAGACTCAGGGCGGCTTACAATGTGTTAAGCAATAGCCTTCATACTTTTGTATATTTATACAAAGTCAGCTTATTGCCCCCACAAACTGGGTCCTCATTTAACCTACCTTAGAAAGGATGGAAGGCTGAGTCAACCTTGAGCCTGGTAAGATTCGAACCTGCAGAAATTGCAGGCAGCTGTGTTAATAACAGGGTGCATTAAACCACTGTACTACCAAGGCTCTTCAACATTGGTTTTCATTTGTTTGGCCTTATCAGTAAATCACTATTGATGCCATAGCTACGTCAATCAGAGATAGGCTTCACATACTGTAGGAACCAGTTCACCCCGCACTGAAAGTGTGTATGTGGCATCACAGAACGTGGCAATTCACTCATGCGCGCTGTCCACACATGCGTGTGACATCAAACAACACAGCAATTCATGTGCGCTGTCAAAAACACAGCGATATAGGATGGGGTTGTGCCCATATAGCGGGTGGACGGGCACATCTGCAGGTTGACACTACCGGAATACCACCTCTGACGTGAATCTAAATCTCTGGTTTATATTAGAATAGTGAAGAAGAATTGATCATATGTTTACCGGGACAGTATGGTAATCAATATTTGTGCTCAGTATTTGTGTGGTACAGGGACGCGGTGGCTCAGTGGCTAAGACTCTGAGCTTGTCGATCGAAAGGTCGGCAGTTCAGCGGTTTGAACCCCTAGTGCCGCGTAGCGGGGTGAGCTCCCTTTACTTGTCGCAGCTTCTGCCAACCTAGCAGTTCGAAAGCACGTAAAAAATGCAAGTAGAAAAATAGGGGCCACCTTTGTTGGGAAGGGAACAGCGTACCGTGCGCCTTTGGCGTTGAGTCATGCCGGCCACATGACCACGGAGACGTCTTCGGACAGTGCTGGCTCTTCGGCTTTGAAACGGAGATGAGCACCCCCCCTAGAGTCAGGAACGACTAGCACATATGCACGAGGGGAACCTTTACCTTTACCTTATTTGTGTGGTACAGGAAGTGATGATGGTTATGTGATGGTTGCATTTTGTTCTGAGGAAAAATATATTTTCTTGACAGTTTTTTTTTTTTTTTTGCTGCCGTAGACTTTTTAGGTGTCGGGCATCTAAAGTTTTTCTTTCTTGGACAAGAGTGCCCTTTAAGTATTTCAGCGGATGGCCGATCCCAAAAGGCTTTGCAACCTATCAATGAATCATTTCATTGTTTCTTCCCAGGGACTGATGAGAAAACAAACCTTGAGCTCATTATTCTTGTCGGAACAGCGATCATTGCCATGTTCTTCTGGGTGCTCCTCGTAATCATCCTGCGGACTGTGAAACGGGTAATGAAACAAACTCTCCCTCGCTGCCCTGTTGTCATTACTCTTGCATAACAAATGAAACCTGATGGCCTTACTTTTGTCTGCTTCTCGGCTTTGTCTTGAAATCAACAGAGGCTTCCCCCCCACTCCCCTTCTTGGGGCATCACATTCCTGCAGAAGATGGAAGGCATCCAAATATTTTGCTTTTAATTGGTGGGGAGAGGGGGGAAAAAAGAGCCTGAGTGGCATAGGAGGCTAATGCCTCCTACTAAGGCAGCATTTAACGTCCAGCTGCCTGAAATTACTGCGAGTTCAATTCTCACCAAGCTGAAGGTCGACTCAGCCTTCCATCCTTTCTAAGGTGGGTAAAATGAGGACCCGGTTTGTGGGGGCAATAAGCTGACTTTGTATAAAATATACAAAAGTATGAAGGCTATTGCTTAACGCATTGTAAGCCGCTCTGAGTCTCCGGAGAAGGGCGGCATATAAAAATAAATAAATAAATAAATAAATAAATAAATAAATAAATAAATAAATAAATAAATAAATAAATAAATAAAAGGCCTTCCCCCCCTCAGATATTAATAAAGCAAGTTACTAAGGATGGTTGATGGGTATGTGCCTTATATGGAGCACTTATGGGAAACAATATTCTTGCATTTCTGGAAACAAAGAAAAGAAAACTTAATAAATCTTAACCATTCTAGCAAAGGTGAGAGAGGGCAGATGACTCAATACAGGTAGTCCTTGACTTATAACAGCTCACTTAGTGACCGTTTGAAGTTACAACGGCACTGAAAAATGGGACTTATGTCTGTTTTTCATACTTACAACCATTGCAGCATCTCCATGGGCATGTTTTATTTATTTATTTATTTATTGGTTCAATTTATATGCCGCCCTTCTCCGGAGACTCAGGGCGGCTTACAATGCGTTAAGCAATAGCCTTCATACTTTTGTATATACCTGCTTAGTAGGGCTTTTGGCCCCCCCAAGCAGTGTTTTTTTTTAATACAAAGTTAGCTTATTGCCCCCACAATCCGGGTCCTCATTTTACCTACCTCGAAAGGATGGAAGGCTGAGTCAACCTTGAGGTTGGTGAGATTCGAACTTGCAGTAATTGCAGGCAGCTGGTGTTACTTAACAGCACTTTAGTCTGCCCCGCCACCAAGGCTCTTTAAATGTGATTTACATTTGGATGCTTGACAACCGATTCACATCTATGACGGTTGAAGAATCCCAGGGTCATGTGATCCCCTTTTGCAACTCTTCCGCCAAGCAAAGTGTTCTGTCCCCGTCTCACACACGCACACAAACAGATAGCCAGGGGTTAAATAAAACTGGCAGACAACAAATTCTTTCGATAAGAGGATTGGCAGCAACCCAGTGGCTGCTTGCCAAGAACTTTACCCATAAAGGGAGGGGTTGTTCCTCCGACAGATAAAGCCAACCAAGATACACACAGTTCAAGAATTGTCAAGTCCAGTCCGTATTAAATCGAAGGCAGATATTGTTGTTGCAAAGATACAATGTGACTCGCTAGTAGTTAGTTTTGTCCGTCACAGAGTCTGAATGGCCACCTCACCCCCTTATATCTCCTGTGGGATGTGGTCCAGTGACTCAGCTTAATCTCTGGCACACCTCCTTTTCTGCTGTGTGCGCTTGTCTCTCCGACGCTGGCATGGATCCAGCCAAGACTTATCTCCGTTACTGTCTGACTGTGAGAAGATACCTGGCTCCTGGCCAATCTCTTCTCCCTCGGGAGACACCTAAGGCATTGCCAGAGAGGAGGGTCCTGGAGAGGGAAGCCTGGCCAACTCCTCTCCTTCATGTTTGGAGCCTTCTCCCTCCGATAAGTCGGCCTCGGGGGTTGGAGTCACAACACAAAGTCAAAGGGAAGTCATTGTTAAGATTCACTTAACAACCATTTTACCAATGGAAGAACCGCAGTGATTCATGCAACAAACTGCGGCGAGAAAAGTCGTAAAATGGGGCAAGACTCACTTAGCAACCTAAATTCTGGGCTCGATTGTGGTCGTAAGTTGAGGACAACCTGTAATAAGCATAAGCTACAATTGTTGATGTTGTGTTCCTTTCAGGCCAATGGAGGAGAACTGAAAACTGGCTACCTGTCTATCATCATGGATCCTGATGAAGTCCCTATGGATGAGCAGTGTGAACGTCTCGCTTACGATGCCAATAGATGGGAATTCCCTCGGGATAGGCTGAAGCTAGGTGTGCTCTCTCCCAACAGACCAATATGTCCTGATAGCCATTAAATTAGAATTTTTTGGGGGGGGGGTTGGATATAGGGATATAGGGGGAATCACAATACACTTAGGAAGTTATCCTATTTGTGCTTGGAATCTCCACTGGGAAAATTCTTTTTTTTTTTTAAAAAAAAAGTTTTTTATTTTTTATAAAAATGTCAAATCAATGCATGTAGCATCTGGGCACCATACATTCCAATACAAACAAAACTGATCAGATTAAACATTATTATTACATTCAATCAATTTATGAGATTCCCATAACAATATACATCTATATGAGGTTACAGTCTAACATTATTCCATTATTCCACCTGTTTCTCATCATTACTTTCATTTTATCAAATACAAATGTAATACATTAATATTCCCTTTATTTCTATCTCTTACTCTAGCTTTTAATCATATCACCCTGTATTAAAAAGCTTTTTCTTTCTTTCCTGTCTAACTTCTGATCATGTCACCTGCCTACAACAAGCGAGAAAGAGAAAAAGAATGGAGAGGGAGAGATAGGGAAATACAATTCAAAACAACAACCGAGAACACGAATCATCCCTCCATCATCTCTTGCCTGCTTTATACTTTAATTTCTATACTTTAAAAAAAAGAGAGGGGTAGAAGGAAAAGTAAGTCAAAACAACAATAAAGAAACAAAAAGAAATCATCTACCCATCGTCTCTTGCCCGCTTTGATACTTCAACTGCTATGCTTAAATGCAGAGAATATGTCGGCATTCCTAAGACTACAGAGTAAATGTGTAGACATTGTAGATTGTTTATAGGGCTTTGTTTCAGGGTATTCTTTGTCAACGGGTTCGTGTTTGAGTTTCCCAGCGGGGTTCATGGGTTTTAATTAGCACTGGAAGCCAGTCAGGTCTCATCTTTTAGTTGCGGGGAGGTCATCAGGCAGTCAAAGAGGCGTGTGGCAGAATACAGCGAAAGACCGGGCACATCATCCGTAATTTCCACCATTTCTGAGTGGTGAAGTCACTGGTAGTATGTGTATAGCGGTGAAATCTCAGCTAGGCCACACGCCAGAGAATGGGCCAAAGCTGTGGCTGTTGGAATCTGTATCTTAATAGTGTCATCGTTAGCCATAAAAATGCTACTTAATAATAAAAGAAACTCTCAAGAAAACCAGAATTACATGCCTTTGACACGGAGTGGCCCAAAAGTAGTCAGATTTATGTAGTTGGCAGCCTCCTCCTCCTTCTCCTCCTCCTCCTTCTCCTTCTCCTTCTTCTCTTTCGTCTCTTCCTCCTCCACTTTCTCCTCCTCCTCCTCCTCTTTCTCCTCCTCCTTCTCCTTCTCCTCCTCCTCTTTCTCCTCCTCCTTCTTCTCCTCCTCCTCTTTCTCCTCCTTCTCCTCCGCTTTCTCCTCCTCCTTCTTCTCCTTCTCCTCTTTCTCCACCTCCTCCTCTTTCTCTTCCTCCTTCTTCTCCTCCTTCACCTCCTCTTTCTCCTCCATCTTTTTTTCCTTCTCCTCTTTCTCCTCCTCCTCCTCTTTCTCCTCCTCTTTCTCCTTCTCCTCTTTCTCCTCTTCTTCTTTCTCCTCCTCCTCCTTCTCCTTCTCCTCTTTCTCCTCCTCCTCCTTCTTCTCCTTCTCCTCCTTCTCCTCCTTCTCCTCCACCTCCTCCTCTTCCTCCTCCTTTCTCCTCCTCCTCCTCCTTCTTCTCCTTCTCCTCTTTCTTCTCCTTCTCCTCCTTCTCCTCCTTCTTCTCTTTCTCCTCCTCTTTCTCCTTCTCCTCTTTCTCCTCCTCCTCCTCTTTCTCTTTCTCCTCCTCCTCCTTCTCCTTCTCCTCCTCCTCCTCTTCTGAGAAAACATAGTTGCCTTTTGAAAAAAAAAACCACCTTTCAGACAATTATGGTCTGGATGACTGAGAATGTCCGTAGATTGGGCTAAGGGAATTGATCAGGATATTTGTAGCTCCCATTTTGCTTCAGCTACAAATGCACTTAATGGTCAAGTCACCCCAGTGTCAGTTCCCTGATGCCTCTTGGCTAACTTCACAGGAATGTTAAAATATTAGAATCAAAATCAACTAGGATAGCATTCTCAGGTTGTCTCCTTCCTACTTCCACATTTTTTTTTTTTTAATGGAATGGGTAAATTTCTTTCCTGCCATTTGGGGATAAATATCCCTTTTTTTTTCTTTTTCCTATGTAATTCAGGAAAGCCACTTGGTCGAGGAGCGTTTGGTCAAGTGATTGAAGCTGACGCATTTGGAATTGACAAAACGACTACTTGTAGCACTGTAGCAGTCAAAATGCTTAAAGGTAAGGATCAAGAATCTACACTGACTAGGTGGCTCAGTGGCTAAGACATTGAGCTTGTCGATCAGAAAGGCCGGCAGTTCGGCGGTTTGAATCCCTAGCACAGGTCTCCTGCGTGAGCAGGGGGTTGGACTAGATGACCTCCAAGGTCCCTTCCAACTCAGTTAACTGCTCACTCCAGGAGTTCGATTCTGAATGGCTCAAGGATGACTCAGCCTTCCATCCTTCCAAGGTGGGTAAAATGAGGACCCAAATTGTTGGGGGCAATATGCTGACTCTGCAAATTGCTTAGAAGGGGCTGTAAAGCACTATGATGCGGTATAGAAGCCGAAGTGCTATTGCTAGTACTGCTATTATCTGTGTGCCTTTTGTTTTGCAGAGGGTGCAACGCACAGTGAGCATCGGGCCTTGATGTCTGAACTCAAAATTCTTATTCATATTGGCCATCATCTCAATGTAGTCAACCTACTTGGAGCTTGCACAAAGCCAGGAGGTCAGTGTTGCTACTTAAGAACATCTCTCATCTATTTTAGATAGAGCGTTAACTGATTTCACTCTGAATGGATGAATGAATGGATTGACATGACAACTCATCTTGTAGACCTCTCTTGGAGTTCAGCAATGAGGAGGAAAAAAAGATACAAAACTAAGCAGAAATATTTTAACAGAAAACCTATAGAGAATTAGTCAATGGGGCAGGTTGATGACTGCTTAAATACTCTTGAGTCTTCCTATCGGAAGGCTTGTAAGATTCTGTCTGATGACCTACTTCTCTTTTAACGTTAAACATACTTTGGTGTGTGTTTACGATCTGCCCTTTTTTTCTCACTGTACTTTCTTCAGGTCCACTCATGGTGATTGTGGAATACTGCAAGTTTGGAAATTTGTCTGTCTACTTAAGAAGCAAGCGAAATGATTTTGTCCCATACAAGGTGAGGTTTCAGAACTTGGAGAGCCATTCACCGTATTCATGATGAGCTTTGTTGAACGTTGCGTGATATAGAGGTTGAGCAAGTGGGACAAGAATAGAAGATTCAGGTTCTAGTCAGCCATCAGCCACAGATCTTCCATGGATGACTTTGTGGCCACCATTCTCTTCTTCTACTTTTGTTAAGTCCTTTTCATACTTCGCAGTTATTAAGAGTACAGACATAGTGAGCAATTGGTCCAGGGATGGGCTTCTGGAGATTCGCAGGGGTTCGGGAGAACCTCTAGCTAAGATTCTGTGCAGTTCGGAGAACCCCCAAATCCCACTCCTGGCTCACCCTGCCCACCCCATCCCACCCCTCCCAGGAGTCCCCATGTGGCCCATTTTGGATGCAGGTAAGTGCAGGGTGCGCGTGGAGTCTCGGGGAGGGTGAAAAACGGGCCTATCGGAAGTTCGGGAAAGCCAGAAATGGGCCCGTTTCTGGCCTCCAAACGGCCACTGGTGCCCGGGGAGGGCAAAAACAGCCCCCTATCGTGCAGGAGCCTGACTAGGCCATGCCCACCATGACCGCGCCCACCCTGCAACTGGGCAGAGAACCCCTTGCTAAATTTTTGAAGCCCACCCCTGAATTGGACTCCTATTCTTTTCTCAGTACACAATTAACATTTCAACATGAAGCCGTTGATTAATCAGGATACAGTCTGGGGCCTTTGCCAATGTTATTCAGTTACAATAGCATTTGCTTCCTTGAGGCTCTCTGTCTCATGTTACTCAGTGGTCTCAAGTCAGTTATGTTGGTTATCACTAAGAGTTTAATCCATGTAAAGCTCAGACATAAATGCCTGAGCAGAGCCACCCACAAGTGTTTTGCTACCTGAGGTAAAAAAACAAAACAAAATGGCAGCCTTGAATGTAAACAAGATATCTAGCTAAGCATCTAATTTTACTTCAGCATTGATAATGGAAGAGTGTCATCTGGGCTTAAAACCAGGGGTGGGCTGCTGGGGGTTCACAGGGGTTCGGGAGAACCTCTAGCTAAGATTCTGTGCACTCCTGGCTGGCCCCTCCCATCCAGCCCCTCCCAGGAGTCCCCACATGGCCTGTTTTAGATGCAGGTAAGTGCAGGGCGTGCACAGAGGCTTGGGGAGGATGAAAAGTTCATCCAGAAGTTCGAGAAGGCCAGAAATGGGCCTCTTTCTGGTCTCCAGAGGGCCTCCGGAGCCTGGGGAGGCTGTTTTCGCCCTCCCGGAGGCTTGAGGAAAGTCTCACGAGCCTGGGGAGGGCAAAAACTGTCCCCCCTGCCATGGTGCAGGAGGCCAACTAGGCCACACCCACCATGGCCACGCCCACCCAGCAACCGGGCAAAGAACCGCTTCCTAAAATTTTTGAAGCCCACCCCTGCTTAAAACATCTGAAGGCAAGGGCACCCAAGTTTGGTCAAGCTAAGGATTATATCAACAGCATTTCTGGGGGATGAACCGCTAAAAAAAGGAAGAGCACATTAGAATGTGGGGTAACAATGATATTCATTAAAGGAAGGATGACGATGACATAGATTAACCAGCGATGTGGAATCTTTGCACGCGTGAAGCAAATACTGTATATAAAGTAAAACAGCAAAATAGGTGCTATCTTTTTCGCCATATTTTCTTGCATCTCCTGTTATATAGCTTCCATTATTTTTCAGCAACTGTGGGGTTGCACCCTCCTTTTTCTTGCCATCACCGAGAATGTTAAAAATTTGATGGCCTTCATTGTTTCCTTACTTCTTTTAACCATAGAGCAATAATATCAGATCTGGGCGAGGACACAGTGACTTCTCTGCAGACCTAAAGAAACGCTTGGATAGCATTGCAAGCAGCCAGAGCTCAGCGAGTTCAGGTTTTGGCGAGGAGCGATCCCTCAGTGAAGTGGAAGAAGGAGAAAGTGAGATTTGCCATAATTTTTTAAGCAAATGTTACGACCGAGGTTGAAATGAATAATAAAATACAGTAGTGGCCAAAATTCTGGAAACCTTTTGGGAAAAGTATATTTTTCCCAAGAGGTTCCCACAATTTTGGCCACTACTGTATATGAAATAAAACCCTCTATACACCCAAATAATCTGAAGAAATCAAGAATTAATTTCTGTGGGAAAGAAACCTTCAAGGGCTAATTAGTAAGATTGTTAATATTAATTGGTATTTCTTTAGCTTCATCATCCATGGTCAGATGTTCCCAGGGTATTCATTCACTGCTTATATCTCATTAATCCACAAATGAAGTTTTTCTTAAAATCCTGTTATACAACAAATAAAGGTATTTGTCAACTAGACAAAGGTATTTCCCATGAAAGATATTCCATTCTGTTAATTCAACTGATGAAGGGTAGATACCTCCCTCAGCAGTTTCCATGGAAAATATTTCATCATCACCATGCGTATTATAATTTTAACTATATTTCTCAGGATGTGCTGTAGAGTATATTGTTGTTAGTTGCAAAGTCGTTTCTGACCCATCGCAACCCCATGGACGACGTTCTTTCAGGCCTTCCTGTCCTCTACCATCCCCTGGAGTCCATTTAAGCTCACACCGAGTGCTTCAGTGACTCCATCCAGCCGTCCCTTTCTTCTTTTGCCCTCAATCGTTCCCAGCATTAGGCTCTTCTCCAATGAGCCCTTCCTTCTCATTAGGTGGCCAAAGTATTTGAGTTTCATTGTCAGGATCCGGCCTTCTAAAGAGCAGTCAGGGTTGATGTCCTCTAGGATTGACCTGTTGGATGGCCTTGCAGTCCAAGGAACTTGCAGGAGTCTTCTCCAGCACCAGAGTTCAAAGGCCTCAATTGTTTGGCACTCAGCCTTCCTTATGGTCTAACTTTCACAGCCATACATGCTACTGTCCATGGGGTTTTCATGGCAAAGATACTGGAGTTAGTTGCCATTTTCTTCTCCAGTGGTCACATTTTGTCAAAACTCTCTGCTATTTATTATTATTATTTATTAAATTTATATCCCGCCCTTCTCCCCGAAGGGACTCAGGGCGGTGAACAGCCAAGAATTAAAATAACATGCAATATAAAAGTTAAAATAATTAAAAATAAATTAAATTAAACGGCCGCCCCAATTTAAAACCCCTAGCAATACAATTAAAAACCCCTAAAACCTATTCAGGCCAGGCCGGCTTGCTGAAATAAAAACGTCTTCAGGGCCTTACGGAAACTGCGGAGATCCGGAATCAGCCGTATTCCGGGAGGTAGTTCGTTCCAGAGGGCGGGTGCTCCCACAGAGAAGGCCCTCCTGCTATGACCTGTCCATCTTGGCATAGTTCATAGCTTCATTGGGCTACGCAAGCCCCTTCACCATGACAAGGCAGCGAACCATGGAGGGAGCTGTGGAGTATGCGTTGTGTATAAATTCATTTTTCATTTCTTTGCAGGAACATCAGAAGATCCTTGCAAAGCTTCTCTGAGCCTAGAGGACCTCATCTGCTACAGCTTCCAGGTGGCTCGGGGGATGGAATTCCTGGCGTCCCGGAAAGTAAGGAATTTCTTGTAGGGAAATGACACTTGTGGAATGACAACATCCTTCAGGAAATAATTGTAATAAGTTTGAGGCTTGGGGGAAGGAAACTGTAATGTTTGCGTCTGGGGTTCATTCCAGACTTCAGAGCATTGTTGAGCTTCAGCTATTGATACTCCTAAGTGCTTTGGTAAAGGTATCAGCACTTGTGAATTCACCAACAACATTGAAATACGAGCTGGAAGCTGCCTGTCCCAGGGGTCCCCAACTTTTTGGACCTCAGGGACCAGTAAATTCATAATTTTAAATCCTGCGGACCACTAATATGATCTGCCTAATGACCCGCTGTGTGGGCGTGGCTAGGTGGTCATGTGACTGAGTGGCCGTGGTCAACTCAATGTCACTCACGTCGAGGGGCACCTCGCCAGTCTCTACTCACCCCTCCCCTCCCAGCCACTCCTCGCTTCCCTGCCCGGGCTCCTTAGGGCCCCAACAGGAAGCAGTTGTTGGAGCTAAGCAGCCACCATGAGAAAGAGTTGGCAAAACAGATACCTTAGTTCAAATTGGATCTGATCGAGAAGGAGGCTCAGTAAAAGCACCTCACTGAGGACTACAAGGATAGGCTTTCCAAGCAGAGGGAAGACCTGTGGAAGTGCAAGACCAGGCACCAGCGCCTGGAGGCTCAGCGGGCTGAGATGATCAGCCAGTTCCAGGCCATGATGCAGTCCCACTGGGACAAGGCCTTCCGGCTCTTTGCCACCAGCGGCACTTCCCTCCAGCCTTCGCCCAAAGCCCCACACCAGGAGGCTGAAGCAGACCCCAAGTCAGAATTTCTGCCCCCCTCTGACCGGCACAAAAAGACCCCGAAGGGGGAGACTCTCTGCAGCAACACAAACGTTCATTGCACGTATCTGTCCCAGTGGGCGTAGTTTGAGGACCCCTGATTTAGTGCAATATCAAAAGTGCAAATAATTTTTCTACAGACCACTAAAATTTTCTCGCGGACCACCAGTGGTCCACGGACTACCAGTTGGTGACTGCTGGTCTGTCCATTTCCTTTGATTAGTTTTTTAAAATTTATTTCATGAATCTACATGAACATGTGCATATCTTGGAGTAAACCCCACAGAGATCATGGGATGTAGAGAGAGGTGGGTTTCACTTACTATCAGTTTGCTGTGTGCATACTCACTTCGCATGCACCTGCACCTGGCCTTCCGTGCATGCGCCCAGTTTGTTTCTGTAGAGCGGGAAAAAAGTCAAGATGATGGCCATGATCGAACAATAGATAGAACAATAGAAGCCACACCTTTCATGACACATGTTAAGGAGATAGCTTAAAGACTAGGGGACAATCTTTTACTATTAAATATAAGGTCATGCAACTGAGACTTGCAGAGATTACAGCTTTTAAGATAAGGTTAGTCCTATTTTCTGGAAGAATTCAGAGAAGTGACATTGTTTATCTTGCTTCAGTGTATACACCGAGATTTGGCTGCTCGCAATATCCTTTTATCGGAGAACAACGTGGTCAAAATCTGTGATTTTGGACTGGCTCGAGATATCTACAAAGATCCAGATTATGTCAGGAAAGGAGATGTAAGTTCAGTGGTCTGAAATTTTGAGGCGTTTATTTGAAATGTTAACCAGGACATCCTAAATCCCTAATCCCACCTCCACTTCAATGATTTGCAAACATGTTGTAATCAATTTACTACAAGTTTTCAAGTTTTACTATGTTATAACTTTAACTTTTATGGAAGTTACTATGACAACAATGTTCTTGTTACCGATTGGTGACATTTTAGATATGTAATATTGTTTCTTAACTATTTAGGCTAGACTACCCCTTAAATGGATGGCTCCAGAAACCATTTTTGATCGTGTATACACAATTCAAAGTGATGTATGGTCTTTTGGTGTGTTGCTGTGGGAAATATTTTCATTAGGTAAGTCAAATGTCTTTGCCGGCTAATGCTTCTCAAAGTTTAACGTTAAGACTACTGAAATGTAACCGTGTTTGTTTATTTTTAATGCAGTGTCATTGTAGATACTTATTTCTCCATCAATGTAGAACAAAAAAATGAATATTCAGTAGGCATTTAAGTATTTGGAATATGTTTATTTGTTGCTCCTTAATAAAATTCAAGACCTTCAATAAGGCCCAATTATGTCTGTTAGTTTGATTGTGGTGTGGTGACCTAGAGGTTGAGCTCTCACCTCACAATCAGGAGACTGTGAGTCCGATCCTAGGTAGAGGCAGATATTTCTCTCTCTGGGCACAATGAGAATATATCTGCTGAACAAAGCTCCACATTGGCAACAGGAAGGGCATCCAGCCAGTAAACACTCAGCTCCATTCAGTTGCCCAGACTCCACCCCGCAAAGGATTATGGGTTCGTTAAAAGAAGATGATGATGTCTGTGAGTTTGATTCATGTTCATATTATTATGCTGATCAAATGTTCCACGGATTGTAATGGGTCCGGAACTCCTTGCCATCTAATTTTGGAGGATTCCTCTTAAAACATTACACCCCATTTTTTGGGGTGCTCTGACACCCAGGAAGCTGTTTCAAAAGATAAGGGAATGAAGGTGTCTATTTTGTTAGATCAAGAAGTCTTTCCCTCGTGAAATAAATATATTGGGACCATGATGATAAATTATTGCACTTTTTATATGCTATTACAGGATTCCTGTATTTTGGTTGGAAAATGTATAGCAAAACAATATCCAGATATTTTTTTAAAAAAATTAATGTTGTCACATTGGATTTATTATGGATTCTTTCTATGCTGGAGATACCTATATGGTACCTATATGGTTTTCAGCCAGAAATCTGAACTCTACCAGATAACTATTAAAGTTGTCTACAAAAAACATGCATTTCCAAATTGAAAAATTCATAAAAGTTTGTTTGAATCCTAGAATGGCATTGATCTCCAAGTCCTTCCAGATGTTTGTGGCGGAATCAGTCTGTTGTTCTAGGGGTGAAATCTACTTACCTGCGCAAAAGGTAGAAAACACATTACTTCCTGGTTAAAACCAGGAAGTAATGACATCCGGGCAGGTGGGTGGAGCTTTGCTCCACCATCGCTACCGGATCGCTGAACCAGCGGCCAAGTTCGCTACTGGATTGGACGATCTGGTCCAATCCGGGAGCATTTCATCCCTGTGTTGTTCCCATTATTAAGCTACATTATTAAGCCCTTGATTTATTACAGCAATTTGGACTGTAATTTTGGTTGTGAGTTTTGACACACATAAGTCAAGAAGCCCATGTGAACGGACCTGATTCTTCAACATTTTTATGGTGGTTGCTAAGCAAATCACACATAAGTCCAAGTCTTGCAAGTCATATGTAAGGACCCATTCTCCTGAATGGGCGTATTTTTCTGGCAAGTGGCAGCAAACATTCAATTTTTGGAAGGACTTGGAGATCAAGTCCACTCTGGGATTCAAACAAGCTCTTATGTTGCAAATTTTGCAATTCTTTAATGCATATTTTTGCCAGATACTGGCAAAAAAAAAATTACCATAAATCGTAGTTATGTGACTGTGGGGTGTTGCAATCAGTCATAAATATGAGCCAGTTGCCAAGGGGAATGCGATCATGTGACTGCACAACATTTTACAAAGACCACAAATGATTTAGGGGCTGTAAAGCATCTTTTGCAAGGCCATCATAACTCAAAACAGTTTTTAAATGAGCGGTGTTAAGTCAGCTGTTTTAGAAGTCTTGACATTTTTCTGATCTTCTCCAAAAGACCCAAAGGTTTATCTGCAGAGCCTGATCTACTGTATCTTCCAACCACCTTTGGTTGAAGTGATGTCCCTGTTAAATTTGTAGCTACTTTTCATATTGGTGAAGTGTCGGTAAGCGGAACAATGAGCCCAGAATTTTAAGGCATTTTTTTAAAAAAAGGAAATCTACTATTTTAGGGGCCTCGCCATACCCAGGTGTAAAAATTGATGAAGATTTCTGTAGAAGATTGAAAGAAGGAACGCGGATGAGGCCACCAGATTATACAACGCCTGAAATGTAAGAACTTTCGCTGCTGCAAACATGTTTTGTAGCAGAGGTTGATCATACATCCATTTTGTTTCCTTCCATGTCATTTAGGAATGCCCAAACAAAAATAAAACACATTCATTAGACGGCCATCATGGCTTTCGTGTTAATGGGGTAGAAGAGCCAACGCCAAACCAAGCAAATCTATTTTTCTCGTTCTTCCTTTATTCCTTGTAACAAAAACCATCCATAAGTAGCTGAATGGGTTTTATTCGGGGACACATTTATTTATAGTAGATTTAATTCTCCAGGTATCAGACAATGTTGGACTGCTGGCATGGTGAACCCAAACAAAGACCGACCTTCTCAGATTTGGTGGAGAGCTTAGGGAATTTACTGCAAGCTAATGTTCACAAGGTACGGAAATGTTCTACACAGAAGTGAGTTTCACATAATTTTACAACCGGTTCGCCACACACTGAAAATGTGAGTGCACGCGCACCTTCCACGCATGTGCACGGCCTTCTGTGCATGTGCTTTGCTCACACGCGTGGCTTGCACGCATGTAAGCAGCTTAGAAAATGTGGCTAAACTGGTTCAGGCAAATACCACCACTGGTTCTACAACAGGGATGGGGAACAATGTGTTCCTGCGTGGATCGTGGCTGATCCCGACGACGAGGAGGCTGGTGTGGTGTCACGCCAGCAGCCGGCGCAGCCGGCGCTCGCGTCGGACAGTGAGGAGGCTGAAGAGGATGTGGTGCCAGAGGCAGAGACTCAGCCAGGGCCTTCATAACCTCCAGAGGCTCCTTCAAGTGGAGAGAGCGAAGTGGAGGAACCTCTCCTCAATGCTCCAGCACGCAGGGCTGCCAAAAGGCAGGAGTGGCTACTCAGGAGGAGGAGGTCTCCTCAAGAGTAAGGCTTGAGGATAATTGGCCACTCCCTTAGCCTATTTAAGTCACACGCCGTTAGTAAGTTTCTTGATGGAAACAACTTGTAATTATCATCAGAACATTTTTGGAAAAGTCTTATCGTATCTTGTTTTCTGGGCTGGTTGCCAACCTTTGCCGGACTTTGGTTTATTCTTGCTACTTAATAAATTTGATAATGTCAATATCCTCGGGAATCCGAAGCTGGGGCAGGACACAATGGCTTTTTATGACTTATGGACTTCAACTTCCAGAATTCCTAAGTCAGCCATGCTGGGCTCAGGAATTCTGGGAGTTGAAGTCCACAAGTCATAAAGGGACCATCGTTCCCCACCTCTGTTCTGTAGGCTGCCACCAACTCCCTGAATTTTTTTTCCCTCATCTGCTCCACTCATTAACAATAAAAAATAAACCTATTTTTGTCTGTCTCTCACACCAGGATGGTAAAGACTATGTTGTCCTTCCCCAAGTTATGTTGCTCCATACTGAAGAAGATTCTGGACTCTCCTTGCCAACGTCACCTGTTTCCTGCAAGGAAGAAGAGGAAGTATGCGATTCTCAGTTCCCTTATGACAGCACGTCGCAAACAAGGTTTGTAATAGTGGGAGCATTCCATTGGGAGCGTTCGACAATCCCTTCCCAAGGTTGACAATTGATGTGGTGATCCTAGCAAAGATGAGAAAGGCATTTGTGTTGCTCATTATTTCAGTGCAATCTATCGCGCTGAATGGTAACACTTTGTGTCCTACTCAAGAGATGAGGTGACTAATGAATGAGTAAACAATAGATGAATGAATTTTGTACAATTTCTTTTAACTTCCCAGAAATGCCTTCAGAGTCCGTGTAACAGAGACACTGTTGCTAGAAGAGCCATGTAGTTTCCACAAACTGAGGATGTGGGAAGTTAATGAACTTGCAACAAGGGTTACACCATCCTCGCATTATCGCGAGGACCCATTGCATTACAGATAGTCCTCGACATACGACAGTGAAATTTACAAAGGCACTGAAAAATGTGACTTATGACTGTTTTTCACATTCATGACCATTGCAGCATCCCCCATGATCAAAATAAAGATGCTTGGCAACTGGTTCATATTTATGACACTTGCAGTGTCCTGGGGTCATGTGATCAGCCTTTGCGACCTTCTGACAAGCAAAATCAATGGGGAATCCAGATTCACTTAACAACATTGTTGCTAACCTAACAAACGCAGTGATCCACTTAACAACTGTGGCAAGAAAAGCCATAAAATGGGGCAAAACTCACTTAACAAATGTTTCACTTAGCAACATAAATTTGGGATTCAGCTGTGGTCATAACTTGAGGACTATCTGTATTATCATTACCCAGACAGGGGTTCAAAACCTCTGATACTCTCACAGCCCCTGTTTGATGAATGCAATATTCATCTCATCCATTCTACACTCATCCATAATGCCCTAGGACAGTGATGGCGAACCTTTTCGGCCCAGCGAGCACACGCATCTGGGCCGCAACCAGGAAGTGGAGCTGCCCAAGGTGCATGCATGCACCTGAAAATGAACTTCCGGTTTCACCTACTGAACTTCCGGTTTTAGCCAGCTACTCTTCCGGGTTTCTAGCGTGCATGCTCGCGCGATGATCAACTGGCCAGTGAGCATGCTCACACAGGAAAACGGAAGACCAGCCCTTCCAGTTTCTGGCACTGCCGCATGCAAAAAGGCCACCAGCGACGCTACCGGTTGGGTCGAACCGGTCCGAACCGGTAGCATTTCACCCTGATCCATAGGAAGTACCTCTTTCTACTGGATAAAATTGTAATCATTCAAATCATACAAGATTCTGGCAATTTTCTGAGTGATGCCTGGGGTCAAAATTGCTGACGATCACAGCTTGGTGAGATGCTAGTTCAGTGATGGGTTTCAAAAATTTTTACTACTGGTTCTGTGGGTGTGGCTTGGTGGGCATGGCATGGGAAGGATACTGTAAAATCTCCATTTCCTCCCAATCAGCTGGGACTCAGGAGGCAGAGAATAGATGGGGGTGGGGCCAGTCAGAATTTTTACTACCGGTACTCCGAACTACTCAAAATTTCCGCTACCGGTTCTCCAGAACTGGTCAGAACCTGCTGAAACCCACCTCTGTGCTAGTTGTACAATAGCAATAGCACTTAGACTTATATACCGCTTCATGGTGCTTTTACAGCCCTCTCTAAGCGGTTTACAGAGTCAGCCTATGGCCCCCAACACTCTGGGTCCTCATTTTACCCACCTCGGAAGGATGGAAGGCTGAGTCAACCTTTAGCCGGTGAGATTTGAACTGCCAAATTGCAGGCAGCTGGCACGTCAGCAGAAGTAGCCTGCAAGCTTGCTTTGGATAATAGTTGCAGAAGGCAAGGGAAGTTTTGACCATCCAGTTTTATTAAGCTTCGGTACGCTAATGAGATCTATTTCTTTTTTTAGTCAGCATCGCACAGGAAGTAAAAGGAGCAGTCGTCCTGTGAGTGTTAAGACTTTTGAATCTGTGCCTGTAGAACCAACCATAAAAGTGGTTCAAGATGTAAGTCCATTTTATAGCTTCTATTTTTGGGGGGGGGGGGAGAGGCTTTCGTCCATCCATCCGTCCGTCCGTCCGTCTGTCTGTCTGTCTGTGTTTTCATTGATTGTCCCAACAGCCTTTTTTTCCCCCTGTTTTTTTTTTTCAGGAAAATCAGACAGACAGTGGGATGATTCTCGCATCCGAAGAACTAAAGGCATTAGAAGAGAAAGCTAAAGAACTGGCATTGCCGTTCAGGTAAATCTGGCAAAACAATCATTACACCTATTTTATTAAAATAAATAAATCAATCAAGGTAGTTCCCAATAAAAAAATCAAAGAAGCCCCAGTGGGGGAATAGCACAGTAGGGGTGGTTGATCAAGAAACAATGGATCCCACCTCTCTCAACTCCACCCCTACCCTCCCCATGTGTCTTTAGGTTTCAATGTTTGGTTTTAATTATTTATGTTTTAATTGTGTATGTATAGACATATTTTTGCTGTAAGTCACCCAGAGTTAACCTATGGCAAAATGGGAGGAAAATAAATTACATACATACATACATAAAATACATACATACATACGAACATACACAAATAAATGAATAAATGCATACATACATACACACATAAATGCATGCATACATACATGCATGCATACATGCATGCATATCGTATTTCTCCAAAAATAAGATATTAATTTTTGCTCCCAAAAATAAAGATAAAGGTTCCCCTCGCACATATGTGCTAGTCGTTCCCGACTCTAGGGGGCGGTGCTCATCTCTGTTTCAAAGCCAAAGAGCCAGCGTTGTCCGAAGACGTCTCCATGGTCATGTGGCCAGCATGACTCAACGTCAAAGGCACACGGAACGCTGTTACCTTCCCACTAAAGGTGGTCCCTATTTTTCTACTTGCATTTTTTACGTGCTTTCGAACTGCTAGGTTGGCAGAAGCTGGGACAAGTAACGGGAGCTCACCCCGTTACACGGCACTAGGGATTTGAACTGCTGAACTGCCGACCTTTTGATCGACAAACTCAGCGTCTTAGCCACTGAGCCACCACTCCAAAAGATACATTAGGGCTTATTTTCTGGTTGGGTCTTATTTTGGGGGAAATACGGTACTAAATGCATCTGTCTGGCTGACGATCTTAACTAGGGCTTAATTTTTGGGTAGGGCTTATGAGCATCTGGAAAAATCATGCTAGGGCTTATTTTTCAGTTAAGTCTTTTTTTTCCTCGGGGAAATATGGTACATACGTACATAAATATAAAAATAAATACATAAATAAATAAAATTCTCTACTTGAGAGGAAATATCTAGAGTTATCCACCTCTCTTTTGGACAGATTTATTCTTCGTACCCAGTAATGTTCTATCAATGATGCCACACTCTAGGGTTTTGCTGTGAGATGGTGGGAGGTGGAAGAAAAGTGCATGTCAGCGCACAATACCACAAACTAAGGCTTAAAATGTCCACCCACATTTTGACTTCCTGGGGGTTCCAATGTCGCTTTGGGAATCATATGTCCAGTTATATCCTGTGCTTATTTATTCCGGCATCCTTTCCTTCTCTCCCTCCGTAGCAGTTTGATAGACTATTTGCTGCTAGATGGCAGTTAGAAAGAGATGTCACAGATAGATGGAGATGTTTCTCCATCTGTCCCTGTGTTTCATCCACATGGAATAGGATAGAATATAGAATAGAATACTTTGTTGGCCAAGTGTGATTGGACACACAAGAAGTTTGTCTCCGGTACAGAAGCTCTCAGTGTACATGCAAAGCAACAGAGTAATCATAATCATGAAAATACCAATAAGATGATATAGTAAAGAAGATGGGAGTGATAATAATAATAATAATAATACTTCAGCCATACAGCCTGGGTAAATATACTTAGACACAAGACAGTGCTGTGAGAATTAGGTGTTCAGCAGTGTGACGGCTCAAGAGATAAAACTGTCTGTGTGTCTAGTTTCTTTGGCATGCAATGCCCTGTAGCGCCATCCTGAGGGGAGGAGTTGAAACAGTCCAGGATGTGAGAGGTCTGTAAATACTGTGTTTTCCCAAAAATAAGACCCTGTCTTATATTTTTTTGAACCCCGAAATAAGCGCTTGGCCTTATTTTCGGGAAGGTCTTATTATTTTGGGGCGTGTGGAGCAAGACGGGACTCCTCTTGCCGTCTTACCTGATTTCCAGCTCTGTCTCCTTAACCCTAACCAGAGGAAATGGCGGGGACCAGCTGCGCATGCGTTTAAATATTTTTGGGGAGGGCTTATTTTCGAGGGGGGGGCTTTTTTTAGTGCATGCACTCAAAAGCCCAATTGGGCTTATTTTCAGGGGATGTCTTATTTTCGGGAAAACGGTATTCTCTCAGCCCTCTTTCTTGCAGTAAACAAGTCCTCAACGGAAGGCAAGCTGGTTGCAATTGTTTTTTTCTGCCTATCCGTTGGAGTCTGTACCTGTTCCGTTTGGTTGCTGTACCAAACCAAACAGAATGTCCTCCATATTTGTCGGCCAAGGCAAAAATCCCATATTGATTGCCCTGTAAGTTAGTCCAGAAAAGCAGCATACTTTTGTGTGCTAATTCCTCTCCTTCTGTGGACTAGAATATCTTTTATATGCTAGTTGTCCATTCTGGATCTCTTCCTCCTGTCTGCCAAGGTCATTCTCACATACCATTACATATACTCTGAACTCTGGTGCAAAATTAGCCATTTTTATTTTTTGTTTTTCAGTGGGCTGATTTCCAGTAAAAGCCACGAATCTGTTATGTCTGAAGCTTCAAATCCCACCAGCGGCTACCAGTCAGGCTATCATTCAGATGACATGGACATTACCATTTATCCTAGTGAAGAAACAGAACTCTTAATGCTCAGGGACGACGCTTCTCAGACCTGCTTCGTTGCCTATGGCCCTGCTATCTCTCTGAGTTCACAGTCTGTATAAGGACTTCTCAGAAAATGGCAACAACTGGAACTTATACCAAACATTGCCTTGTCCTGAAACCCATTGTATTCATACCCAGAATACAGGAGGGGAGAAAAATATGAATTTTCCCATTATTATTATTTTTTTTATGATTAAAAAGAAGAAGAAATTGCAATAAGGAATCCTCTGGAAGCAATGCAAGACTTTGAGAGAGCTTGAAGATATATCAGGCATTGCTGAAAGTCATAGATGATCGTTTCATCATCAGTTTGAACACAAGAACATCGTGAAATCTGATAAGGAGGCCCTCTTTCTATGCAGTTACATGAAGATGGAAATAGGCTCAGTCAGAACCAGTATTTCTACCAGTTTGCCCCAGTTCAGGCGGTTCGGTAGCGGTGGTGGGAGGGTCCACCGGTCAGAATCCTTTGAATTTGGGGTTGGTCAGCAATGAGGTTTCAGAAGTGTGGTCAGTGGAACCTAAGACAGCATCTGCCTTTCCTAACTCCTCTTTCATGTTTATCTCTTCCATTGAAGGACCTTTCCTGTCTAAATCTTGCTGTTAAAAGTAAGCCACTAAAAGCTACTGAAGAGCAGGGCAACTGGCTTTGTGAAAATCTCTGTTTTTACTCCCTAGGCCTTGATGTATTTTTGATCCTTTCCAAGAAGGCTTCCTACTGAAATGAGCCTCCTTGAGAGGCTTGAGAAATGCTTAAAAATTAGCAAATAATCCCAGAGTTTAACCATTATTCACCAAAGAATGTTGGTGAACATTCCTTTATTTGATCAGTGTTGTATGGTTCTTAAGATGCAGACACGTATTATTATTATTATTATTGAAACAGCCACCTTGATAAAATAACCTCTTGTAACGCAGCCAAGCAAATTGTCCATAAAACCAGTTTTATCACTGAGATAACAGAGTTGGAAGGGACCTTGGAGCAGGGCTGGGCTGCTGGGGGTTCGCAAGGGTTCGGGAGAACCTCTAGCTAAGATTCTGTGCAGTTCGGAGAACCCTCACATCCCACTCCTGGCTGGCCCCACCCATCCCTACCCCTCCCATGAGTCCCCACATGGCCCATTGTGGATGCATGTAAGTGTAGGTCGCGTGCAGAGCCTTGGGGAGGGCGAAAAACGGGCCTACCGGAAGTTCAGGAAGGCTGGAAACAGGCCTGTTTCTGGCCTCCCGAGGGGCCTTCAGAGCCTGGGGAGGCCGTTTTTGCCCTCTGGAGCCTGGGGAGGGCAAAAACACCTCCCCACCATGTTGCAGGAGGCCGACTAGGCCACACCCACCATGGCCACGCCCACCCAGCAACCGGGCAGAGAACCCCTTGCTAAAATTTTTGAAGCCCACCCCTGCCTTGGAGGTCTTCTAGTCCGACCGCCTGCTCGAGCAGGAGTCCCTCTACCATTTCTAGCTGCTCAGAATGTCGTGATGGACCTTTCAAGTGGAAAGATTCCAAAATTTGGTCACCTAATAACATGTGACATTTACATTGAAAGACTTTTCTTTACAGAAAGTATCATGAAGCTATTTTGACTAGGGTTGTCTTTGGTTACTTTTATATTTTTCATTCAGGGTTTTGTATTTTGTTTAATATTTCAGGCAGAACAAATCCATGAATTAACAAAAATTTAAACGGCACAAATGCGGTATTTATAGTCTGGATATGTAGAAAGAATTGTAATATATTATGAGAATAAATAAATAAATATATTGTATAATGAAAGCTGAGTGGAACTTATTCTTGAGTTCGCTGGATTTTAAAAATGGATCCTAATTTTAAAAATGGGGCTGATTCCAATGACCAGATCTCAACTGAACATTTTTGAATATGAATGATTTTATATGGTAAAACCTCCACAGAGATTGTCAGTCATCCAGGTCATGGTTATCCCAAAGGTGCTTTTTCAAGAGGCAAGTGGACTTTCTGGGTTTTTTCCTTTCTTTTCTGAGAAGCGAAATGTCTTAAAAAAATAAAAAAAACCCTATTAAGTCCACTTGGCTCTTGAAAAAGCACCTTTGGGAAATTTTATACGGTAGTTGATGTGTAAGTTCATCACTTCACAACAATCGCAAAGCAATTTCTTGCAGTCTTTCATGTCTTACATTCGCACTCTCCAGCATCTATATGTTTATTTGTTTATTATTTTATTATTCATATTTCTATGCCGCTCACTCTCCGAGGACTCTGGGCGGCTTACACCAAAGACAGTATACTAAATAGCATATTGCCCCCTAACAATCTGGGTCCTCATTTTACCCACCTCGGAAGGATGGAAGGCTGAGTCAACCTTGAGCCGGTGAGATTTGATCCGCTGATCTGCTGAACTAGCAGTCGGCTGAAGCAGCTGCAGTACTGCACCCTAACCACTGCGCCACCTCGGCTCCTCCTGTTCATCTGTTCAAGATATCTCCCCTGCCAGGTAAGAATTCCAACATTTACTGTATATCCAATGCACCAAGTAAATACTGTGTCATTTCAAATGGTTGATATGATGATGAGTTTTAAGTTTTTATGAGCAAAAGAACAATCCCACAGCTGTTTTTATTTGGGGGGGGATGGGGAGAAATCCCCTGACCTTGTTTGTTCCTAGTTTGTTTTATTTTTTTAACATCCAGGAACGTCTCAGGAATCTGTTGCTCTTATTAGTCCTATTTTTAGAAGAAAAAAAAAAACACCTGGTCTTTCAAAACATCTGCCTTTCAAAATATATTTATATTTAGTCTCAGCGTTCTTGGCAAAATGCCAGCAAAAGTGGGGGGGTTTCCACATCTGTTTGAGCAGATGTCAAGACGACACAATATTTTAATGATGACACTGTACATGAAGATGCTTTTTTTTTGCACCTGCACATATATACACTCAGTGCTTAATGTATGTCTTTACTTTTGGGGAGTTGGGATGCCGAATTTGTTCTGGGAAGTGTGTATTGTCTTTCACAGCCCTGATAAAGTCTGCTTGGAAACAAGGTCTATTAAGTGGGTTTAAGTGGTAACTCCTGTACAGGTAGTCCTCGATTTACAACAGTTCACTCAGTGACCGTTCGAAGTTACAACGGCACGGGAAAAAGTGACTTGTGACCATTTTTCACACTTACGACCAATGCAAGTCATGTGATTTACATTCGGATGCTTGACAACTGCCTCACATTTTTGACGGTTGCGCTGTTCCTGGGCTCATGTGATCCTCTTTTGCGACCTTCTGCTGAGCAAAGTCAGTGTGGAAACCAGATTCACTTAACAACCGGAATTACTCATTTAACAACTGCAGTGGTTCGCTTAACAAACGTGGCAAGAAAATTCGTAAAATGGGGCCAAACTTACTTATTATGAGAGAAGTGGTTCGCTTAACAAACGTGGCAAGAAAATTCGTAAAATGGGGCCAAACTTACTTATTATGAGAGAATTATGTTGCTGAGTGACAACAAATTTCTCCCTCAGCAACATAATTTTGGGGCTCAATTGTAGTTGTATATTGAGGGCTACCTGTATAACATAATGCAGGCAACACAGTGGTGGGTTGCTCCCGGTTCGACCCGGTTCCGCTGAGCTGGTAGCGGTGACGATATGACGTCACTGAACCGGTTCTGCCCCCCCCCCGCATTATTCTTACCTTTTATTTGGCCCTACCCTCAATCTATTGCTGCCTCCTGAGTCCCAGCTGATCGGCTAGAAGGAAAAAAACTGTTTAAACTCTTGCCGCGGGGCTTCAAAGGGCCGCCCTACAGCTGATCAGTGTTAAAAGGCAGTGTGGTGGTAGACCGGTGCCTCCAAAAACAAATGAGTAGACCGATGCCTGCAAAAATAAATGGGTAGACCGGTGCCTCCAAAAACAAATGGGTAGACCGGTACAGCTCTGCAAGCAGTTAAAAGCCTGGTAGACCAGTACCTCTGCTAAATCCTAAAGAATTGTCACATGACCATCAAGCCACGCCCACAAAATAAGCCACGCCCACAGAACCGGTAGTAAAAAAATTTAGAACCCACCCCTGAGGCAACAGCTATTTTGGTCATTAGATCTTTACTTACTGAACACGTGGTCAACGCATATTTTGTTTGCAAAGGAATAAAGCAGTGGAAAAAAAAACTTAAAAGTGACTATTTTTCCTAGATCAGGGGTGTCAAACTCAAGGCCTGGGGGCCGGATCCGGCCTTTGGAGTGCCTAGATCTGGCCCACGGGGCCGCCCTAGAATCAGCAAACAATTGGCCCGTGTTGCCTCTGCCAGCGAAAACGGGCTCCAGACAGTGGTGGGATTCAAATAATTTAACAACCGGTTCTCTGCCCTAATGATTTCTTCCAACAACCAGTTTACCAAACTGCTCAGAAAGTTAACAACCGGTTCTCCCGAAGTGGTGCGAACTGGCTGAATCCCACCAGTGGCTCCAGAGCTCCGTTTTCGGCTGCGACAGCATCCTGCCGCCCTCTGGCAGTGAAAATGGAGGTTTTTTTGGGTGGGGGGGCGCACAATGGAACTCGGGAGCCCGTTTTCACTGGCAGAGTGCTTGGTCGTCCACAATTCACTACTTTAAATATTAGGTATTGTAGACAACTATCTATTAGATTCACACATTAGATTCCAACTCCCCAACATTTCACAATTGAACGAATAAGGGAATGCACTGGACTTGGCCAAGAAAATGAGTGGAGACGTTGCTACGTTCTTATCAGGGGTGGACTTTATGGCTCTTGGAGACCAAACAGAATCCTGCCCCAAAAGCCACCAAAATAATATCTGGAGCTTCCCGAAGCTTGTGACTATTTTTTGGTCCTCTTTTGGACTACAGAAAGGCTGCATGATTTTCTCTCTCTTTATACAATCTTTATACAATCCTAAACATTAAGATACTGCACAGAGCAAGGAATGAGGAAGAAGTTCAAAAAAGTGAACTTCTTCACTTTTTGTATGTTGACTTACATGTCCAAGCATATTATTTAAGTCCCCAAGAATGCTGAACTTCAGGCTAAGTGTTTCTACTAAATGTGATTTAAATCCCATCCTCTCCAGCTTTTCAGATTGATGAGGTCCTGGAAAACATCATTTAGGTCTCCTGAGGGAGGAGAGTAGGAGCCCTTTAATTTACGCTGCTGATAAGTATCTAAGAGAAGTTGTTTAATGGGATTTGGGAAACTTGTCCTTTGTTACTCCTAAGTGGGGCTGTGTAAAGCACAATCCACAGATGTAGTTAGCTATTAACCTTCTTAGGTGCACGAGGCTCAAAATCATAACCTGCAGACTATGCACAGTAACTCTTGAGTATAAACCGGCAGCTTTTTTTTTGGCTGCCACCCTGTAAACAACACCCGGAAACTTCCACAAATGCCAGGATCAAAAGATCTTTAATTAACTATTTAAACTGAAAGACAATTTAGCATGCTAGCTCCTATGAGTCACTATTCTAAAGGAACAGGCCTATTTCGTTTTTGGAACTATTGATGGATTGGCATCAATAGCATATCTGGGAAAATTTCTTGGGGGGATATATATGAATGCCTTCATTGGTAGGTAGGTAGGTAGCTAGGTGGGAAGGGAAGGGAAGGGAAGGGAAGGAAGGAAGGGAAAGGAGAGGGGAAGGAAGGAAGGAAGGAAGGAAGGAAGGAAGGAAGGAAGGAAGGGAGGGAGGGAGGGAGGGGAAGGAGAGGGGAAGGAAGGAAGGGAAAGGAGAGGAGAAGGAAGGAAAGAAGGAAAAGGAGAGGGGAAGGAAGGAAAAGAAGAAGGGAAGGAAGGAAAAGGAGAGGGGAAGGAAGGAAGGAAAAGGAGAGGGGAGAAGAAAAGAAGAGGGGAAGGAAGGAAGGAAAAGAGAGGGACGGAAGGAAGGAAGGAAAAGGAGAGGGGAAGGAAGGAAGGGGAAAGGAAAGAGGAAGGAAGTAAGGAAGGAAAAGGAGAGGAGAAGGAAGGAAGGAAGGAAAAGGAGAGGGAAGGAAGGAAGAAAAGCAGAGGGAAGGAAGGAAGGGGAAGAGGAGAGGGGAAGGAAGGAAAAGAAGAGGGAAGGAAAAGGAAGGGAGAGGGGACGGAAGGAAGGAAAAGGAGAGGGAAGGAAGAAGGGGAAAGGAGAGAGGAAGAAGGAAAAGGAGAGGGGAAGAAAGGAAGGAAAAGGAGAGGGGAAGGAAGGAAGGAAGGAGGGGAAGGAAGGAGGGAAAAGGAGAGGGGAAGGAAGGAGGGAGGGAAGGAAGGAACAAAGGAAGGAAGGAAGGAAGGAAAAAAGAGGAAAAGAAGGAGGGAAGAAAGGTTGTTTCTTGATTGAGTATCAAGAAACAATCAAAGAGCCAACGACAAACCGCCCAACCAAAGAATCTCTAACACCACTCCCACCGACACCAACAGGCAAGCCACTAGAATATAAACTGAGATCAAACCCCACTCCTTACTAGCACTGATGATGTTATCTAGTTTGGATAATGAAACTTCTGCAAGAAAACAAGCAACCTCAGAGAGCACCAAGGAGCCCTCATGTCAACCCTGAGCTACAAATATTCTTCAATAGAATAGAATAGAATAGAATAGAATAGAATAGAATAGAATAGAATAGAATAGAATAGAATAGAATAGAATAGAATAGCAGAGTTGGAAGGGACCTTGGAGGTCTTCTAATCCGTCCCCCTATTTAGGCAGGAGACCCTTCACCACTTCAGACAAATGGTTGTCCAATCTCTTCTTAAAAACTTCCAGTGTTGGAACATTCACAACTTCTGGAGGCCAGTTGTTCCACGGACTGATTCTTCTAAC